ATCAATCACAAGTTTTCACTGTGAGAACAAGTACACCCATGGTCTGGAAAGCAAGTGGCTTTCTATACTTTCCAGATTGTGCAATAAGGATTGAGGAGGCAGCTGAGAGATGGAGGTAAAGAGAGACCTATGCTGGATTCTATGAGGTGCACAGAGGGGGAAGAGATATTAGTAATCAGTGTTTTGGTAAAAATAAGATGAGCAGCAATGATTCTTCAACATCAGCTTCGTTGGACTGGTCATGTTGTGTGGATGCCTGATTATTGTCTTCCAAAGCAACTACTCTATTCTGAACTTTAAAATGGACAGCATAATGCTGGTGGTCAACAAAAGAGGTTTAAAGACTCTTTCAAGGCAAATCTAAAAAAATGTAGTATAAACACCAACAACTGGGAAGCACTGGCCTGCAAGCGCTCCAATTGGAGAACAACCATTGCCAAAGTCATGGATTTTGAAGACACTCAAACTCAGGACGAAAGGGAGAAACATGCTAAGAGGAAGGCAGGTTTGGCAAACCCTCACCATGATCAACTCCTGCCTGGAAACCTATGTCCCCACTGTGGAAGGACGTGTGGATTCAGAATTGCCCTCCACAGTCACTTAGGACTCACTGTTAAAACCGTGTTCATGGAAGACAATCTTACTCGGCTTCGAGTGATCGCCAAAGAAGAAGAAACTACTACTACTAGAGAAATGAAAGAAATTGAAGAATTAACCCCTCTCCACTTTGTTGGATGTAACTCTTTGTGGGACTCTGCACAAGCTTAAGGCTTAAGGCTTTGCTCTCTTCTCTCCCCGAATGGTTGACCAATATGGTGTACACAAGGAAGGCATGTAAAGCCCTGGGAATTATGCCAAACTTTACAAGTAGCTCTCCTGAACTTCAGAAAAGATAAAATAAAATCACACAGTTTTTCTTTCAGGAGAGTAAAAAAGAGTCGAGAAAGCTGATATAAGATACAAGATACTTCCTGCTTTGGACTGGTCAATAAATCTTAAAGGGGACATACAAGAATCTAGGAATACAAGTCCTTCAATAAATTTGGCCGTAGAATTGGCCTTGGCAGAAGACATAAACAAGACTAATTTGAGAAATAAATTGGGGCAAACCGGCGAGCTTATACAGAGGCAGTCTTTTGACCTAAGTAAAAGCCCACCCAGACAACAAGCCATTTCTAAATGCACACAAACAGGAGAGACAGACACTCAACTCCAGGATCAGCTTCATATGGTTTGCTCTGAATTAACCCTCATCAGTAACCCTTTCTTACAGTAAGCAATGGGCTGCTTACAACATTAGTGGGAAATTTTACAATTCAGGAGAGAGCGTTAGAGTCAAAAGATGTTGAAAAGTACTCATATCTTGATCAACGTGCCATGGTGCCAGCACAAAATGGCTGCAACAGGCAGCAAAAAAGGAGAGGTGACTGTACTCCATACAAGTGAATAGCCACACAAAAAGCACAGGTTGAAATGGTGCTATGTAAAAGAGGCCTGTAAACTAGGAAACGGGAAAATGGGAGGATAGGCCGAAGAAAAGAGAAAGAGAAGGGATACAGAAAGAGAAGGAAAAAAGCAGTTTTGAAGCGAAAAGGAAAAAAGGAGAAGGTTTAATAGAGGAGGATTAGAGAAAAAATGCCCATTATTGGGCACAGAGATTAAAGGAGTTACCAAAACGGATTACAAAGAAAATACAGAATTAAAATGGCAACAAAAGAGACTTTTCTGTGGCTAATATGCTGGTGCAGCCACCTCAGGTTGGTAAATATAAAACAGTAAATATAACAATTGCCCTCCTGGCAATTTAAGGTATAAATCTCTAAAGAAAGCTTCTTGTATTATACATCTTTCTTTACTGGTTTACAATTTAAGTGGTTATGCATTATTCACCAACGGGCAGAGTATTATTCACTGCACCACTGATGATAATACAGTGATGACAAAGAGGAACACAGTGAGATGAAAAAATGAATCTGTGGGGATCTCTGCCATTAATATGCCATGGAGCAGTGTGTTTTAAAGAAAACAGTGAGCAACTCCAAAGCCTTACAGGTTATACAAACGTAGGGGCTGTAACTTGAACTTAAAATGAATTGTTGGATAATTTGCCTGGCATTTGATGAATTCAGAATTAGCTGGAAGATTGCCACCTAGCGGATTATGTGCTGAGTTTAAATTTATATTTCTTCACAGGAGGGTTAGGTGGCAGAGGGGGGAGAGAAAATATGTGTGGAGGCAAGGGAAAATGCAACTTTAAATTTAAAAATAGAACATTTTAATGCAATAAAAATTAAAATGTAAATGTAGAAATTCCACTTGCAAGACACTAATTTATTTAAGATACAAACCCAGCAGGAGGTGCTTTTGCCATAGTTCAGCTATTTAACTTAAAATGCTCTTGCTCAGCATTCCTCTTCCTAATTATACAGGTTGTTTGTTCTTAACTTAGGCTACAATCCTAAACACTAGTGAGTCAACATGCACCGGACTGCAGTGTTAAGAAATTGTTAGGGGGAGAGAGAACAGTTATTTGAAATGCTGTGTCATGGCCAAGACTTGATTTGTTTATGATATGGTGGAACACACTCAAGCAGTAGGCTGATGAACAATTGCCAGTGTCAGCTATACCAGCTGCTGTGGCTGCAGATGCCAAACAAAGAATTAATGGCTCAAGTAACCGTGGGAAGTCTAAACAACTTTCCCTCTTGGTACCTGAAAGACTAACAGTGTGGTGTGATATTTCCTGTATGCCAAGTTTGAAAAAATTGCCTTTCCCTTCACAAGACACGCATTTACTCATTTTGATCATGTCATGGAATAATATTTATCAGTGCCAAAAATTGACACCAAATACATCTAGCAATATTAGCAAAACCAGAGACTTCAGAAATGCTCTCTGCATCCTTCCAATCCTATGGGGAAATGGTTTTTACTTTCAAACTGCTAGGTTACAGCTGCTTCAATTTATCACATAGTTCATTCTTGCAAAGTTGTAAGTGAAACAATAGCTTTGAAACTTTGGAAGCAACGGTTTCACTTGCAATATGCGGAGGTTTTCTTCAATGGCATTTCAGAGTGGAAATCTGAAACACTGAAGTGGCTTCATCTCTAGTGCTGTGTATTAATATTCCTGCAAACATAAAATCTTTGGAGAACGGTGGACAATATCCAATGTTAGTCATATTCAGAGAACCATTGAAATCAATGGACAAGTCCATTCATTCCCACAGATCTAAATCAAAAGTATGATTTAACTGGATCTCATCCAGTATATTTTGCTATGTAGGTTACATGCCACACCCATTCAAGATCCAAAAGTGAGAAGAAAGAACACAGTTCTCCCTGGGTCTGGAAGAAAAGGCATGCTAATGCCCTGTTATCGTTTGTGAAACAACTTTTAAGATTTACTGGTGAAAAGGCCTGATTCTTCTGCATAATTTGAAGCTGCACATGTTCACAGACCAACAAGTAGTTGCAGATGGTGTATCTCAGTTCTATGTAAGATTCAAAGCAGATACCAGGCATAAGCTGGAAGTATATGGGACTGAAGTGTCAACTTTTCCAATGTGTATTCAATATTCTGATTTACAAGCAAGCACATGCACACTTAAAATGAACATTTTTTTAGCTTTGGGGATCCTAACCAATATGCTGTCAGTACTATGAAGCTATTTTGTCTCTGGTTTGGAAGTGAAATTAAAGTTAAATTCAAAGACACTAGCTTATTTTGCATTACCATTTTATGATATTCAAAGTTATTTACATCTCCTAGCAGTGGCAGTGAAAAGAAGCCTTTTTAATTCCCCATTATGACTATAATTACTGACAATTATATAAAGTCAAAATAAAACCTTCAGCTATTGAATTCTAGCAAGTGCGCAATGAGTTTGAAAAGAACAAAAAAACGCTGCAGTTTGCAAACTAAAGGCGGTATTTACAAGATTAGAATATAGTTAAATGTACAATTTAACAAGGTGCTAAAATGGAAAGGTTGCAGATCACTCCGTGGATAGAGGATATTGAACAGCAGCACTTTGGGGGAATTTTTGAACTTCTCTATGTATACTGGGCACGCTTCTTTTGTTTACCTATGATCCAAATTCACAGCCGGGCTCTGACGTTTGAAAAACCTAATAAAAGCGTATCGCATTATTTTAAGAGCATTGAAAGTCCCTCCACATTGCTCCATCACTTCCCTGGCGCCCCTAGAAGGCTTTACTTCAGTCATTAATTAAAAAACAAACCAACCCTACAAGTCTCCTCCAACATATTGCTCAAGGCGGTAAAGGAATTAAATGCTTTGAGGCTGAGCCTTTTCAATTTCCTAATCCTGGGTACTGCCCTCTTTTAACAACACTTGGGCTGTTCCGTCCCGCTTGATCTCTGCTAGCGCTATCATTCCCCGCCTTCTAACCTGCCCGTGCCCCCCCGCCCCCCCCAGCATAAGGGCTCCTCCGCTGCAAACTTCTTCCCTTCACATTCAGTAATATAAGCGGTGCCTAATTACAGCCCTATGGCACAGCGCAGGAAAGGCAGCCTTGCTGGCAGGCAGGTTCCTCCCGGTCTACCCTCTTCCTTGCACTAGCTCCTATTTAAGCTTCTGGCCCTGTCAGCTCCACCACCAGCCCACAGGGGAAGACTACGGCCAGTACCATTTACAAAACATTTGAGGGGGGGGCGGTTGGCGGCGAGAGGAGCCGGAGCTGCCACGCTTCTATTCCCCCCCCCCGCTCGGTGCCGGGCACTATCGGTGGGCGTGGCCTAGCCTCGAGGTTTCTGGGCGGCGCTCCAACGCCAAGCTTCTTCCCCCCCCCCCCACCGGCTCGCGGTGGGAGTGGTAGTGCCCACCCCTCCGGAGCGGAAGTGCCTGACGGAGCGGAGTTGGCGGGTCGGCTTTGCCTCGCGCGCTGCTCGAGTGCTGCTGCTGCCACCGCGGTAACCGCCGCCTCAGCCCCTTGTGTGAGGGGAAAGTTGGGGTGGGGTGGGGTGGGGGGTCTTCCCGGCGGCTTCTCGGATGCGGCGGAAGCAGAAGCGGCTGCTGCAGGCGGTGGGGCTGGCGCTGGCCGCCCTTGTCTTCCTTCCCAACGTGGGGCTTTGGTCGCTTTACCGGGAGCGGCAGCTGGATGGCGGCGGCGGCGGCGATGGCAGAGAAGCGGCAGGCGGCGGAGGCGCGGGGGGAGCCCGCGGGGCGGCGGCGGCAGCTGGGGCGGTACCGGCGGCAGCGGCGGCAGCAGCCCGAGGAGAAGCGCAGGTGAGAAGTGGAGGGAGCCGCATATTTTTCTCCTCCCTCTCTGTCTCTTCGCCTCACGTCTGGGGTCTTGTGGGGAAGAGCGGTTGCTACTTCGGATGTAGCCGGGAGACGAGGATCCTCCTGAGGGGACGACTCGGACTGTTATTTTTTTTATTTAAAACAAATCTGCCTTTCATCCTCATTTCTATAGTCAGTGGTGACGGAAGAGGAAGCGGCCGCTCTCTATGGGGTGAAGGGCCTCTGCATTGCCTGTACGTTTACATTATATATGTGTGTATATATATCTATACACATATGTACTATGTGTATGTGTACACACACACAGAGGGAAAGGATAGCTGAGCCGCATAGAGGTTTCTCTATCTTACACACACACACAGACACACACACACACACAGAGGGAAAGGATGGCTGAGCTACACAGATGTTTCTCTCTCTTTCTCTCTCTCTCTCTCACACACATCCAGGGCATTGACCCATTAGTATGAAGGGGTGACAGGGCGGGGGGGGGGGCAGAGGAAGGAAGCCACACTTCCTTTCAGGCCAAGAGGTGGCTGAGGATAAAGCAGCTGTCTGGGGTGGGGTGGAGGGAGGCTTTGTGACCCCCATGCTCTGTTGCTTTTGGCAGGCTCCGCTCCTCGGCCATTACCCTCCTCTCCTGGGCTAATACCCTTTGCAAGACTTGTAAGTCATAGTTGGCTTACCTGATCTTGCCTGTTCTACTAATAAGTGAACCGCGTGGAGGTGGAGAAAGTAAGGCAGAGTTTTCCTCCTCCTTTCTTTCTTTTTGGAGGGGAATAGGCAGTTCCCGTTTTGAACCAGACTGAATCATAGGTTGATTTTGCAAGTGCTCACACAGAAGAGCTGTAGATTACCAGGTTGTTGTTCTTTTTTTAAGAAAAAAAACCTGATTGAGCATCTTTTGTATTAAGAGTTTCTGGGTTTCCCTTTTAAATTAACATGCTGGCATTATTCTTGTTTTGGCACCCTGTCATTAAGGAGCAAAATAAGGTGAAGAGCATGAGCTGTCACTAGTAAACTAATCTTCTTTGTTATAAGGCTCTCATTGTTTAGGTCACCTCAGAGTTAAGGGTGTAAGGTTGCAATCCTGTGCATATCTAATGGGAGCAGCAGTTTCGTCATGCTGGTAGAAGTGGATTCTTATGGCAGAGTAAATCTGTTACTGCTGCAAGACTACTTGTTGTTTTAACTTGAGAATTCATTAACGTATGTGTTTTAGTTTTGAGTAAGCACACACAACTCATTGAGGTGATCAGCTTTATATTTTATCTGTAGTCTTATAGAGAAAGTGTCTCAGTCAGCTACTTAAGGTAATGTTCTTTTCATTTATCTAAATATATATACATTTAGTTCTGTATTGTACAGCTATGGTAACTTTATTTCTTTAGTGTTAATGAAAAAGGCTTCATTCAAGACAAAATGCTGTGACACACAAATGTGCAGTGTCTCCCAAAATAATGAACATAAATTCTTAGCAACGTGTACAATGAGTTTTGAAAGTTCCTGCTGGTATGTCAGTTATAAACTTGTTCTGTCTTCACTTGAATGCCCTAAACATGAATCCCTTCTGTTGCCATTTCATGGACTTTTGTTTGTTCTTCTAGTTTCACACTTTATTGCCCTCACTGCTATTCAGATTTCAAGAAAAAATAATATTCTTAGGGGTGCCTAATTAGGTATTATATATAAATTATGTGCACAGACCTAGTCCACAGCCCTAACAACCTTTTTTGGCACACACTAGGAAAGGGGAGAGTGTCTGAGGTGGAAAATATTATCAGAGAAATTTGTTATGTTTGCGTTTGACAGAGGGAACAGACCAATCTTTAACAAGTGTTTAAACACAGTTGTGAGAAAAGAACCAGGTAGGTCTTGGAGAGAAGAGTCATGGGAAGGGTGCATTCAGGATATATTATTGGGTTTATGGAAGAAGGGAAATGTACCAGAGATGCAGGCAGAGAAGTAAAAAGTTATCTTCTTCTCAATTATGTTGATCCTCATTTCAGATCTCTCGGCTGCTATACCATAGGCTGGGATTGGGGGAAGAGGTGTGTGCTTTGATGAAGTGTTGCCTTCTGCTGTGCTTGCCGTTGGGAACAGTGGCTACCTCCTCTCTGGAGGCCATGAGGAGGAGTTAGCTTTTGCTTCTATGTTAGATTATAACATGCCATAACATTTGAACCTAGATGAAATGCAGTATTCTTAACTATCATCAGTGAGGGTGGGGAGAGGAAACCAGCTTCGAGCAATGGTTTATGTAGCTGCGTTTTCACTTACCATAGTAAAGATTAACCACAGTTTAGTGCTGGGATGTAACACTAAATTGTGGTTGATCTAAAATGGAAAGAGACATGCCAGATATTGTCTTTGCAGCTGTGCTGGAGTCAGTATGTGAGCCAGGGGGTTGCTACAGCTTGTCCGTGTAATGAATGAATGAATGCCTTCAATGTATTGGTTTAATTTAAATTGTAGGGAGATTAGTGCTGTGAGAAATCAGTGGTTTTGCAGATGCCATTTAACATGGTTCATAATTACCTGTAAAACTTTTTAAATAATTAATATTGGTTTCTGGTCCTTATAAGTCATGCCAAATGTACTGTACCTATCATAGCTCTTTCACTCAGCAGTGGAGTGGAAACCAATAATGGTAGAACTGCAAGTATTTGTTTACCAAAAAGACTACAACATTTAGTGGCTCTCTGTTGCAGCATTAGTTTATTACAAAATGATCACACAAAGCTGAGTACAGTTGGATCATAAAGCTTATAATTAATAATGTATTTTCATCTTTCTCCTCATTAGGAAAACATTTGTTAGATTACTCCTGCAAAGCTGTGATTAATTTTCTAAGCCTCCTCTTAGTCTGTTAGTTAGCATGTCATTAAAAAAAAATCTAGCCCTACAATTAAAAAAAATATAGATTTGCAGTTCACTGTAACACAAGACTCTATGAACTGCACAGTGCATGGGAATATTAGTACCACTGTCATCATAACACCTGGTGATGGAGGATGAAAGCTGCGTTCTCAGTAACATCCACAAGCACGTTTTTGCATTTTAGTTTTCTGGATGTGTTAACACCTCTCAGAGGACTGTATCCTCTTGTTTGTATATTTGGCAAGCATGCAAAAGAAGTCATCTGTCATGCAGTCATCTTTTCCTCAGTCTTAAGACTGTACTGTGGGCATGGAGGGCAAATTATTCAAGTATTGTAACAGTACCAACCAGTGTGTCATGTGCTGGCTATGTTTGCATCTTGAATGATATATTGTAGTCCATATCACAAACTCTTGATAATACTGTAGTCACCAGAACATCTGGTGAGGAAAGGGAGCCTGTTGTGTGATATTGAGTAAAAAGTGCTAAGTCTGGAACTAAATTGGTACCCTAGAAGCAAATGTCTCCCCACCCCCAATATTTTCAAACACAGCACAATTATTCGAGATTCCCGCGTTGCAGAGGGTTGGACGTGATGACCCATGAGGGTTCCTTCTGATTCTGTGAACCAGAAAATGCTTATTTCAATAATTAAACTTCCTCATTTTGTAACTACATTTCTAAACAAAATTCTAACTAGTTTCTGTACTACATTTGAGGGTAAAATCCTAGGCCTTTGCTCATGCTTTCAGATCGCCTACTCAGACTTAAGTGACAGAACTTTCCAAAGTCCAGAGTTTTTTGTTTTTTGTTATCTGTGTTTTCTGTAAGGTGGAAAGTATATTTTTCTTTCTTTTTTTTAAAGACATGCCTTGCTTTTTACAATATCTGAGTCTCAAGGCATCTTTCAAAAAGTAAAAGCATACAAAATACAAAATTTAAAACATGTATTAAAACATCAGAGAATAAAACAGAACAGGATTCATGATGCAAAGGCTTACTGAAAGAAATCATTTTAAACTGATGATATGATCATTCCCAATGTCAGCACTATATCAAAGTATGGCCCATTCCCCACAAGTTTGAACAGAGTTCTGTATCCCCTGGCTCCCTCAACATATGCAAAGGCAGAACAACAGGGCAGTGCAAGGAAGGGGAATCTGTTCCACAGTTATTTATTTCAAGTAATTTGTTAGTTGCCATTCAAAATACATTATTTTCCCATGACAGTTTACATCATTTAAAACAATTTAAAACTTCTATCCCAGGAGAAGAAGTGCTATAGCTGTGGGGCCACTTCTATATGCCAAACTGACCTCTGTTTATGGCTTCCATAAGCAAGATTTTCCTATAGCTGATCTACATTTCTGGAAGGTTCACATATTTCCATCTACCTTGCTGCTCAGACAAGTTAACGTACATATTCTGCAAAACCTGTTGAGTGGCATGTGGCTATGTCAGAGGGGAAAATCAGTTGTAGGAGTGTTGAGCCTTATAGAAGAACTGTGAGAACAGGATGCTGGACTACATGGGGCATTTGCCTGATTCAGCAGGCTCTTCTTATGTTCTTATCTATTGAGCATTCATCCTGATTTGTATTCAGGGAAATTAGATGGTGTTGGCTATTTAATGAGCATTCATTGTCATTTGCTGGAAGGTTAGATGATGTTGCATTTAAGCAAGTATTGTCCCACACTTTCCAGGGCATTTTCCCCCTCACTTGCTGCAAAATGTGTAACCTTTTTGGAAACTAAAACATGGTGGTTGAACTGCTGATCAGGACTAAGCAGTGGTAATACATTTCACCAGTATTAACAAGCTCCATTGGATTCCTGTCCGTTTCCAGAATTACAGTTTTCTGTCTTCAGGTAGGTAGCTGTGTTGGTCTGACGCAGTCAAAATAAAAATAATAATAAATAATAAATTGTCCAGTAGCACCTTATAGACCAACTAAGTTTGTTCTGGTATACGCTTTCGTGTGCATGCACGAAGACCAAACTTAGTTGGTCTATAAGGTGCTACTGAACAATTTATTTTATTTTAGTTTAGTTTTTAGTTTTCTGTCTGTTTTGATTCCCACATTAACTTGGCTACCATTTAAGGTCAAAGGATGCCCTTTTCTCTGTGTTGTGCCATAACACAAGAAGCAGGAAATGGCATTTTATGTGGAATGTTTTTCTTAGGGCTTTTCACCTGGCAAACATCCTGGTGAGTTTTGTGTACCAGGCGAAAAACTTTGTTATATGTTTCATCTTTTTGTTGCTGCTAATTGCGGTTTTAGCTTTGTTTCAAACCACAGCTTGGTTTTACTTTGTAGGGAGTGTATTTTAGTTGTAGCTGTTTTATTGTCCTGGATAAGATTAATGTTTATGATATGATATGTCTTTAAAACAAATTTTGGTCTACAGTGTAAAAGACACTACATTTCAATCAATATATCTGCAGGGAACAATTGATGATAGTATATTACACATGTTGCTACAAAGCCAAAAAGAGATTGACCACAAAGACAAATAAGAATTAAGAAGTATTGCATTTCAAACAGTAGACAACAAGATGCTTCTGGAATATGACAAACAAGGCATAAGGTTATGTTAACATCCGAAATTCAGAAATGTAGTATTTTATATATGGATGCTCAGTGAGTAATAGCCCTTTAGCATCTTCTCAACATCTTGCAGTAGTGAATTTCATAAGTTAATGATTAATTGTTGTTAGCAATACTTTATTTTCGCTGTTTCAGACATGCTGCACATAAACTTAAGTGGTCAATCCTTAATAGAGGGATTAAAAAGTTTTATTCACCTTTTGCTACATTATTCATATCTATCTGTCTATATGAACTACCAGCTAGGGTGACTATAACCATATAATCAATATCTCTTCCACGCAGCACACTTCATACACATCCTCCCATCAATTGCCTGTGATTAGTGCAATACAATAATCTAAAGCTTCCCGCTGAATTTACATTTATCATTTTGCAATCAGCAGTTACTATCCAATAGAAAATCCTGATTTATTTCTATTACCACTATGTGTATATTCATTTTGCAAAGTAACCTTTCCAAACTTCTCCCTCAATTCATAAAAGTAGGAGAGGCTGTATTTCCCGTCTGCTCTTGTGAAGTAGCAATATATGGTTGGTATGGGATCCTTTAGCTCAGCCTAGAAAAAGTCTGAGGTGCAATTAATTAAATCCACATCTTCGTATTGACATACATAAAATATGGATAATTTCAGAATAAGCCCAGATCAAAACACATGATTTTGATTTTCCTTTTCAAGAACTGGTACAAAAGACAGTTCTATTTTCCTGTTGTATTATAACCATCTACAGATGTTTTAGACATAATTTCTTAATGGGCTTTGACAGTGCCTTCTAAAAGCCAGCTGTTTGGCAAATTTTGAATGGGCTATAAATATATTGTGAATGTGAGATAGAAATAAGTCCCTGCGAATCAGGTTTCATGGAGTCTAAACTCTTGAGAGTTAAGCATTCAATACTCTCTTTTCTTGTAAAATAGGTGATGGAAAATATTTATATATTATCCAGAAAAGTCATATTAATTATTTAGGACTTGATGCTGTCCTACTTTTTTGACAGGGAAGATAAACTGCTGCACTTCCTTTTACAGTTTAAAGATGTGCTCATAATATGTGTGGAGTCCCTGACATTTCACAGCCTAAGTTATGCTATATAGATACAGTGGTACCTCTGGTTACGTACTTAATTCATTCCAGAGGTCCATTCTTAACCTGAAACTTTTCTTAACCTGAAGCACCACTTTAGCTAATGGGGCCTCCCGCTGCTGCCACGCCACCAGAGCACAATTTCTGTTCTTACCCTGAAGCAAAGTTCTTAACCCGAGGTAATACTTCTGGGTTAGCGGAGTCTGTAACCTGAAGCATATGTAACCTGAAGCGTATGTAACCCAAGGTACCACTGTACTTATAGCTATCTAAAAGGTTAGAGATTCTTAAGTCTTTGCTTCTCAGGCAATATTGTACTCAGCCGTAAATAGACCTGTCTTACATGAAAGGAAGTACAATTGTTGCATCACTACCACATGATCAGACATATTTTGTTTGATTCCATTATTTGCTGTTTGAAGAAAAACATCTTCTCTTAAGGTGTGGTTTTTGGCTCTTGTGGAGGTTAACCGGATCATTTCCAGGCCTTCTCCTGCATTCAGTCAACTGCTATCACTGTTGGTGAATGTTCAGTGTTTATCAAAATGCTAAAACTGGGGGGGGGGGGGGGACAAGATGTAAACAAACAGTAATCACTGTTTGCATACAAATTACTTCATCAAAATAGTTCTGCACTAATTTATTCAGTGACGTGTGAGAGTTCTGTTTTCATGAGTCAAAAAAGAGCCATCCATGTGTATTCATATTTTGAGTCCTCAAAAGCTATCCCCACACAGAATTCCCAGACCTTTAAACCTTTGAGTTTAAAAAGTGGGTTGGGTAAACATGGTACAAGAATGATTTAAAAGAGAAAATTATACTGTGCATGCATAGACACCTTTCCTCATTTTTCCCTATTAAAAATTCTTCCTGCTAAATTGTGCTCTCTTTTTTTGTAAATTTGGAGCTTGCAGAGCACTTTGAAGGGACATGTTTGTCCCTCTGGATCAGAGTCAACAGCACTGAGACACATGATGTACCAAAGAGTGCTTTGTTATGATCTATCACCAATATGTTTAATCATTATCTCCAAAATGTTGATATAAAGGAGCTTTATATCATGATATTTTTACTTCATTAAAGATGGCTGTTTCAAACAATATCTCCAAAAAGGACTGCATTTTTCCTTGAAGTAATAATATTTGGAGTTTATATAGCACATTTAGAACATTCTGAGAACTTCACATATATGATTTTATTGCAATTGCCACAACCACCCATTAAAGTAGGTCAGCATTGCTTTCCCTTTATTGCCGATGAGGCAACTGAGACTGATAGAGTTTGCCTAAAGCCGTCTAACAAGATAATAGCTGTAGTGAGCTTTGAAGTAGAAATTTCTAGGTTCACAACTTATCCACTGTGCTACACTAGTTCAGTGTGCTGATGGATTCATAATAATAATCTTACTAATAATCAGCCTTCTGAATTCCTCTTTCTCCATTTGAAAAACGGGGGGTTGTGTTAGAATTAAAAGAAAGTTTACGCACATGTGAGTAAAAACAGTGCCAGCATCCACAGCTTTGCTTTTTTGTCCTTGTTATGGCAGTTAGAGGCAAGCTACTGCTTTGTCTAAAAAGGAGCTTGGCACCATAACTGGTTCTCTCCCACAAATACATGCAGGCTCCTTGAGCCTTAACATTTGGGTTGCTAATTTACCTTCTGGCTGCTGCATACCTCTATTCTGTGCATTTGTATTATGCTGTTTTTAAAACATAATTTCTGATTCAGAATACAACAGTATTCCAAGAAGGAAATAGCACCAGAGCAAATAGTTTTTTTACCAGTAGGAGCAATGGAGCAATCTCTCAGGATGGTCTTGCCACAGACAAATGTTTGTTCTTAAAAGGAAAATGAGTTTTCATTCCATACCCATGATGGATCAGATTTTGGATTAAACTTGTAGTCCCTTGCAAATGTCAGTCCAGCCAAAGGATATGGTTTTTGAAGGGTGTCTTTGTGGTGTTTTGTATTTATTAAAAAAAGAAATAAAGTGTGTGTGTGTGTGTGTGTGTGTGTGTGTGTGTTTTAATTGTCAAAAGGAGATTGACACCTACTTTAAGGTAAGGTTACCAGATGTCCCCGTTTCCCAGGGACAGTCCCCGGATTTACAAATCAGTCCCCTCACAAAATCCTATCATTCTTACTGAAGTTGGAAAGTGTCCCTGGATTTTTGTGCAATATCTGACGCAGGAGGAACTGTACCCACAAATGCAGGCCCATCTTAAACAATGATTTTTCTTAAGGCTGCATGCTAGGCTCTGTTTAAGTTTATGATCTTTGATTTTTGTGCAAGGTGTAAAGTTGTAATCTTGAGAAGTTCCAGATTACCACCCCCCACCCAAAATATCAAACAAACAACACCTTGACACAAAGGCATTTCATCTTGTACTGTATTGGGCATAATTCTAGCAATCCAATTATATGAGATATGCCACAAAATGTATAAGAAAAAATGCTAAGAATCATTCTATATATTTTTTTATTTTAAAGTTTTATTATATTTCTGTATTTTTATGTATGTCATTTGTTCCATCACATTGGTGCACTTTGCAAAAAAGCTTATAAATACTTTAATTTAAGAGTGAGTTGATTTCTTTTAACTAATGAGAATTTTTTAACAAAAGGTCTAAACCTTAATCTGTTGTTTTGTTCAGCACTTTATATATTATAAAAAAAGTTTTGTTATTGGATCTGACTAGAAATAACATTATATAATGCTGCCACTTAATTGGTGATTTTATTATATTTTTATATAGCATTTACATGGCTTAAATAACCATTCATAGCTGGAACCAGGCACACCAAATAGCAACTAAACAAAAGATTAAAATTACGTTTTTTTTGTATGTTTAGCTATTGAACGTTACTAGATTTCTTTGATAATTTTTCAGCTTGGTAGGCAACATAAAGGGCTGTTTACAACTATTAATCTAAATCCATTTTTAGAGTATTATTTAATATTTCTTTCTACTCTGACCTCACTTTCATTAAAGCAAGGGATGAAAACAATGAAGGAAAGATTAGCTTCAAGTCTATAATTCTTCATTTTAGAGGGAAATGTACCTCACTCAGATGCATTGACTTGGTACAGAAAACAGCTAAGTAAAGCCCTATGCAATGGATTGTTAAGCAGAAAGCAAATCCAAAACATGACAAACCAAATATCACTGTCAAAGGTATTGATGCAATACTCCTTTGACCTTTCTTAAAATGCCACATAAGTTAAACCCCACAGTTTTGAAATGTTCTTTGATGACGCACCAGGGCAGGGTCATCCTGTAGGTCAACATTCACCATTCTGGTGGACTCCTCTTCCCTGGAGGTTTTTAAGCAGAGGTTGGATGGCCATCTGTCATGTATGATCTAGTTGTGAGTCGTGCATTGAAGGGGGTTGGATAGATGACCATTGGGGTCCCATCCAACTCTACAGTTCTATGAGTCTATGTTTTGAAAATATGGCTTGTCAGTAATTCAGTTTAGCCTTGAATGCTTTCACAAACTTATATATAATGTTTATTTAAAAGGGTTTCCATACAAGGCAGAAGAAAGAAGCTTATCTTGAAAACAGACAAAGGAAAAAGGACTGGCATGACAGGGATGCTATAAAGAAAGACTTGCAACGTACAGGTGTGTATGATAACTCATTCAGCCTTAAGGCATGTAATATTGAATTACATATTCAGTAACCTATAAGTAAAATGGAACTGAGCACAAAGTACTGGGGGAGGGTATATGTAACGCAGTATCGATTACTGTTAACAGAGTTTACAAGAAAGTCAGCAGGCCTTTGCTAGCAAGTGTCTGGAACGTGCTTCGGGCAGTGGTTGAGCAAAGAAGTCTACTACTTCTGTTTTTCTTTTCAGTTCTGATAATTTGCTATGTTATCATATGGGTGTTCTTTTGTTCCAAGGGAAGAAACTGAAAAATGCAACAGGACCTCAGACTTCAAACTAGAAAGGAACAGCAGCTATGTTTGTATGCTGCTTGCTCCCAACCATTCTACAAGCATGATGTCTTTCAAGGTCTTTCAAGCTAGCCATTTGAGAGTGCAATTTGATGTATCACAATGGGCAGGACAAGAAGGAAAGAAGGAAGAACTGCGTGTGGCACACCACCCCATTTCAATCTTCACTGGAAGGCTTAAATGCCCAAGTTTCCATTGCAAAGGCCTTAAAAGCATCAGTGGGACATAAATGGAAGGGAGAAAAATGATGACTGATGTTAAGCAAACCAGAGACTGCCGTAACTTGCTATTTTGAAGCAGAATGATGTAAATTGGTATGTGAGTGTGGAGGCCATGCAAAATCTCCCTTTTCCAGTTGAAGTGGCAAAAAATGTAAGCCTGAAACTGGTGAAGATTTGTCATACCAGCCCTAGAACGGAGTTAGGGTTTTTTGAGGCTTTCATCCTTGATTTTGGCAGCCTTCTGTGTGGTACAGTAGTACCAGTTGGTGGAGAGAGGGAAGGTTGTGCTGACAACAGCATCCTGCTAGACTTTATGCAATGGGAGGGAATAATAAGAGTTAATCAAATTGATCTAGATAGAAATTGAGCATTTGCCAGACTTGGTTTGTGTCTCCAAAACCAAATAGTGGGGCCAACAGAGAACAAGGGCAGGAAAGTTCCCCACATATTTTTAAGAAACTGATTGGCCTTCCTAGGTTGTGTATATTTTGCATCCTATAAATTGAGATAAATCTAATTAGTCCCAAATCTGACCTTTTTTTCAAAATGACAGTTAACAAGGTATCTGTTATAAACACCGTTTAGTGTTCCTATAGTTCTTTCAGTTTTATCATCCACTTCTCAACTGCTCGATAGTTTTAACAGATGTAAAGTGTGGTGTTTGGACATCATACTGTGTCCTTGATAGAATGTGGCATAATGAGTATTGCCTAGCCAGCCGTGCTAGCTGAGACTAGTGGGAGTTGTAGTCCATAATATCTAGAGGGACCAGATTGACAGAATTCAGAATTCAGCTTTCAGCCACTGGAATTTTATAAGTATTAATGGCTCCACTTCTTTTGCTATAGGAAATGGAGAACAGGGAAAACCGTATCCTATGACAGATGCCGAGCAAGTGGACCAGGCATACAGAGAAAATGGCTTTAATATTTTTGTGAGTGACAAAGTTTCTCTCAATCGATCCCTACCAGATATACGACACCCAAAGTAAGTACAAACTTTTCTTGTTACTGAAAGTATGAAGGTTTCTATTTCTAAAATTGGCCTTTCTGTATCCTAACTTGAGTGTCATTCCAATTTGTATTGCCCTTGCTTGTTACATACGTCTGCAGTATCTTGATAGGTTGAATTATCTAATGTATTAAACAAGAAACCTGATAGTTCAGCAACTCTTAACTCTGTCATCAGAGCCAAGAAATAAAGCATAAATATTTATGTACAGAGATTCCAACCGTTGCAAATAAACTCTCCTCTGTATTTTATGTTATTGGTGATTTATTTTAATAGGTTTGCTATAGAGTGGATATGTTTTATTGTCAGTGTTGTTGCTGTTGTTATTTTCTTGCCCATCCTTCATCAGAAGATCCCATGGCAGGTTACACCATATAAACACACAATTAAAACATTGAAACTATCTGAATAAATGAGGAATAGAAAAGAACCCTGTGGGTCACGGAACATCTGTTTACTTTGGATGTATCCTCACTTTGAGATTTGGACGTACCCAGGGCTATGAAATGCCCTTAAAATTCTCTTCAGCAATCACTCACAGCTTGTATGATACGTATTTTGTAAACAAATTACATTCAGAAAGTGCTGCCTGACAGTCATCCTTCTTTTAGTGTTTGATATGATCTCTCATCTCTTTGACATTCCATCCAAAAAGTTTTTCAAATATCTCCTCCATCCCACTAAGAGGTATCATTGTTTAAGTCTTCGATCTTCTATAGCACCAATGGGGAACCTCTGGCCTATGGACCCAGTTAGAATCTTGTTCTTCCTGAATCTGTCCTAATACAGGCTATTTTTCAACTGTATGTTTAATATTTAGCTACAATAAGCGAAAAAACTCAAATAATAGTAGTAACCATTCTTTGTATTCTGGTCAAGCTAGTTACTGTGTTCATCTGTCTTGTAGCTGCAATAGCAAGCTATACCTGGAAAACCTCCCCAACACCAGTGTAATAATCCCATTCCACAACGAAGGGTGGTCATCACTTCTCAGAACAGTGCACAGTGTTCTCAATCGCTCTCCTCCTGAACTCATAGCTGAAATTGTACTGGTGGATGATTTCAGTGACAGAGGTACTTTCATTATAATATTTATTTATGCAGACATATGACTGAACAAAAAAAAAGGTATATAGCAGATTACTTGTGCAGATATTCTGCTGACAAAATTCATTAAGTGAACCCTGCCCAGTATTCCAAATGTTGTTGCATATAATAGGATATATTCATACACAAAATGCTCCTCTCCAAGGTGTGGAAGATTGTTTGCAATTCTGTATTCAGCTTATGGTGGATAACCAATGTTTGGGTACACAAAGAACTGCCATTCTGGAAATATCCATAGCTAACTAAAACATACACAAAGGTTGTCAGAACAGGAACTGCCATCAAAATTCCTTTATTGCAAACTGACTCCAGAATCTCTTACGTTAAGTCATAGGAGCTTTTTGTGGATTTGTGTTTTAATTTCAACCACTATTCCTTTATCTTATTTAAATTAACTTATTTCATATACTGACTTTCAGAATGCTAATTATATTCTTGTGTTCAGAGTGGCTCAAATAGCTAATGCTTTATCAAGCATGGAAATCATTTACAGTTGTTGAAATGGAGAACATGTGTTTGTATTATCATTAGATTTTTAGAAATATTTAATAGAGAGTGAGTTTTTATATTAAATAGTGAGTGAGTTTTTCAGGTCCTATTCTTGGCTTTTGGCTAAGATAATGCATTTCTAATGATGTGATATTATGCAAAGCTGTCCCACAGTGGTTCATTACTACTCCTGATAGCTATTTTCGCCAGTTTAAAAAAGAGCTATGTGACAGTTAAATGAACATTTATTCAGTTTTGAAGTAGCTTGCAAATATATTCTCACATCATATAGCTCACACGTATTGCAATTTTTAATAGAGTTTTGGTTTTGAGAGAGAGAGAGCTTGTATCTTCTATTCCATTTGTATACTTCCCTTCTTCCAAAGATCCCAGGGTGGTTATCTGGTTTTGGCAAAGTGGTATGGGCTCCTACAACTGTAGACTTAAGCCACACTGTAGTTAGCGATGTAAACCCGCCCCCCCCCCAAGAAAACCCCAACCCCTTCACATGATATCCCATACTTTAAATTTATATCTGCCCATGTTGGTAATATACATTCTTACTCTAGTGTCAAGCAAATTATTTGATTAAGTTAAGAAAATTGTTTGTATTATTATAATATGTGTATGGATTAGCTACTTGCCTGTTGTATGCCTATCAAAATTAAACCATTACTGTCCACGTATTTGTGTTTTATTGGCCTGATGTATGTTATTGAATTACATGTAATACTTTAATTGCCTGGTGAAGGTTCTGTGCAGCTACCAATACCTTATTATCTTAAAGTTTGTAGCTAGAATAAAGCAATGGCAGTGATCTGTTATGAAACTTTGCTTTTCTCAAGGTACCTAACCTGACCAACATGAAAGGTCTAAAATGGGATTGTATTTTTAATGGTTCAAGCTGTGTTGTTTGATCACGTCTTCCTTTCAAAGCTTGCAAAGTGATTTTTTAAAAAAAGTTTTTTTCTAATTTCTGGTGTTTTTCTTATTTCAGTTTTCTAGCTGCTTCATTTACAGCTGTTTCACATTTAGATATGTTTCATGTCTAATAGTCTAGATATAAGATGTATATAAGATGTATATATATATATAAGATAGTATATAAAAATGATAAAATAGCAAAATTATAAAAACACAAAACTATTAAACCTTAAAGGTGTTCCAGATTCTGGAAATTGGGTTTTAAAGTTGGGGAGAAATAAAGACTGGATGAGAAATCATTTAATTTTCCATGCAGAACACTTAAAAAAGCGCTTGGAGGACTATATGGCCCAGTTTCCCAAAGTGAGGATTCTCCGAACTAAGAAGAGAGAAGGGTTGATAAGAACTCGTATGCTGGGAGCTTCTGTTGCTATAGGAGATGTTATTACTTTTTTGGACTCTCACTGTGAGGCCAATGTGAACTGGTTGCCACCCCTTTTAGGTAAGCAGACTATCTCATTCATTGTTTATTTATATGATTTTTATCCTACCTTTCTAATGCATTTACATCACTCAAGCCAGTGCATAACAAGTAACACTATAATTTTGCAATAAATTCCCAATATCAATATGTATTTCAGTCTGATAATCACATGTCCTGATATGGCATTTCTAGCTATACTTTCTAGCTATATGAAATACAGAGGCTTACAATCTGACTTAAAACTAAAATTTCATCCATAATTTAATTTTATTGTTCTGGGACTTCTCAGAACTTTTTTCTACAAAAAGTCAGTATCTGGCTTATATAAAGACTGCTGACATCAGTTACTCAAATAATGCCTCAGTGTGATTCTCTTTGAGAAAGGGTGAGAAGGTACTTGGATAAAATGAAGGTTCAAAATAGGATTGTCTTTTCAATGGTTCTGGCTGTGTTGCTTGATCATGTCTTCCTTTCAACGCTTGCAAAGTGATCTTTAAAAAGTGTTTCTAATTTCAGACGTTTTTCTGATTTCATTTATTTAACTGCGGTTGGTTCACATTTAGTAATAATAATAATTTATTATTTGTACCCCGCCCATCTGGCTGGGTTTCCCCAGCCACTCTGGGCGGCTTCCAACAAAGATGAAAAATACACTAAAATGTCACATATTAAAAACTTTCCTGAACAGGGCTGCCTTCAGATGTCTTCTGAATGTCAGGTAGTTGTTTATCGCTTTGACTATGTTTCATGTCTAATAGTCTAGGCAAAGATATATAAAACACGCATTTTACCATATACTTGGATGATGGTCCTGTTGTGACTCACCATGGATCAGGCTGCAACCACTGAAGCCCAGTGAAATATATAATCCAGCTGTGTTCGTAAATTCAAGTTAAAAAGTAGTTTTATTTGTTTTGTGAAGATGTTTTGCCTGAATTATTTCCTGCCTGATTCTAACACAGAACTTAAACACATTATGGCTGACTGGCATATTGGCTTGTGGAAATAGTTTTGAACTTATAGAAAAAATAGGCCATTAACAGACCATTGTTTAAAACAAGGCTTGGCTGGTAATTGTTTGCTTGCTCCACGCAGAGTAGTCTCTCATTTTGAATTATTATTTTTGCTTTGTTTTGTTTTGGTTGACAGATAAACAGAAAAGAATATAACATTTGGATGACAAAATAGTGAGGCATTTGGATATCTGTTAATTTTTGTCTAATACCAAGGTAAACAGGCTTTTCAGATGTGTGTGTATAGACATTCAACATTAGAATCCTGCAACTGGCCTGTTTAGTTCACATATAATATGTGGAAAATGGCCTTCTCTTGCTGCTTGGCCTTAATTGTCCTCTTAAGGCTGCACAGTCACAGTGCTGCAGCCCTAGTAAGTGCATTCCCTATCTATGTAGCTGTTAAAATACAGTTACCCAGCCAATGCTTCAGATCTTTAAGAACCATCACAAACTTTTTGGGCCTTCCCTGGTTGTTACTTCCCTTATGCCAATAAAGTGCAGCCAATGCTACTCCCAGGACTGCATGAGGTTTTGCTCTAAACTTCTTTTTCCCTTCTTTCCTCAGTGTCTCCACAGCTCCACAATTTTTAGACAACTTCCCCCATTGTCCCATTTTATTAAGCTTCTGTTGCACTTTCTTCATTCACCCATAGTGTTTCATAACCTTAGCACTGAAATTTCTTCAGAGACTCCTCTTTGATTAGCCTACTGCCTCTGTTCACTGTCCTTTGTCTGTCTCTCAGTTCCTATCCTTCAGTCGCCTTGCTTCTGCACCATAGTTTCCTGGTTTCATGGCACCTCTTCCCAGCAGTCTGCCTGTCCCACACAGCTACTGCTGTCATTAGGACCTGGATAGTGCCAAACTGATGGACTTCCCTCTTGGAAGGTGATCTCACAGACCTTGAGAGCTCTGATCCTCAAGCAGTTGCAGTGCTCAATGAACATCACCAGTTCTGCCAACTGGCACTGGAGACTTCAGCTTCACAAGCATTGTGTAGTATAGATAGCACTGAACTGACTTATCAGCCATTCCCCTACCTCAACTTGTTAATAGGTGTAAATCTGAATAGGTAGACTAAATTCAACTCCAAGTGTATATGTGCTCCCAAATGTTACCTTTCCAACACTATTATTTTATGTAGTCTTTGGGAGAGCATGAAAAATCACCAATGAATGTGAAACTCCTGTATTCAGCAAGACAACTCTATAATTTTTTTCTGATTGGTAGGTAGTTCACATTTGAATTAGATTACCCATGTGTGTTTCGTGGAAAGATGAGAAAAATCAAAAAGTCGTGTAGCTGTACTTCTGAATATATTCTTTATGGAGTATTGTAGAAACAATTGTGTTTGCAACTCCTTTCATCTGTAGCAAAATAATGTTACATGTTTCTATCTATACCCCAGACCGCATTGCTCGAAATCGCAAAACTATTGTTTGTCCAATGATTGATGTAATTGACCATGACCACTTTGGCTATGAAACACAAGCTGGAGATGCAATGCGAGGTGCATTTGACTGGGAGATGTATTACAAGCGGATACCCATTCCTCCTGAATTACAGAAACCTGACCCGAGTGACCCTTTTGAGTAAGTTCATGAAACAAAGTGTGAATAGGTGTTTAACCAGCTAGGCTCTTGACACTGGTGCTTTCAAACGGATAGAAACTATCCTTGGCCATCACAAGTAATGTTTCATTTCAAAAGATAAAATTCTTTTGTGTTATCTCTGTCTACTACAACTTTTTGAAAAGAGAAAATAAGGTCCATTTCAGATGTATAAAAATAATTTCAATTGCATTCTTGAAATAAGTCAGAATGTTGGATATTTAATAGAACATATCGCATGCTGGTACAAATTAAATCAAAATGTAAACTTTATTTTCTTAATAATTATGAATTCAGTTAATATAGTGGTAGAATAGCCTGACCAGGTTGGTCCATGCTTTGGTAACCTCAACACACTTTATTTTATCTTAACCGTTGTTGCTATGTGTGGGTAAAAATGCAGCATTGTTAAATTAAATATTTGTTTCAGAGTAATTATTTATTATTATTATTATTATTATTATTATTATTATTATTTATACCCCGCCCATCTGGCTGAGTTTCCCCAGCCACTCTGGGCGACTCCCAATCTAGTGTTAAAAAAATACAGCATTAAATATTAAAAACTTCCCTAAACAGGGCTGCCTTCTGGCGTCTTTTAAAAATAGGATAGCTGCTTATTTCCTTGACATCTGATGGGAGGGCGTTCCACAGGGCGGGCGCTACTACCGAGAAGGCCCTCTGTCTGGTTCCCTGTAACCTCACTTCTCGCAGCGAGGAAACCACCAGAAGGCCCTCGAAGCTGGATCTCAGTGTCCGGGCTGAACGATAGGGGTGGAGACGCTCCTTCAGGTATACAGGACCAAGGCCGTTTTGCTGCCTAGACCAATTAAGGAGAGGAAGAATGTTAAAAGGTACAACACTGGGCCTTTGTTAGATAATGTGGGCTGTATTCCCACACAGATTGACACCTTCCACTATTGGAGGTCTCGTTAATTCATTCTGAAGGAAACTGCCAAGTTCTCCTGGGTTCATAGTTTAAAGATATACTGTGCAACAACATCACATAGATTAAAAATATTAAGGTGGAGCAGTAGAAAAAATACTAAAGTATGAAATGTGATTTCAGGAATGTAATTTATTGATATATGGATGTAATGGTGGCATAACTATAATGATAGGTTTTGTAATGTGAAGGATTTCCCCCCTTAAGATCTCCTGTAATGGCTGGAGGACTGTTTGCAGTCGACAGAAAGTGGTTCTGGGAGCTGGGAGGATATGATGCAGGCCTGGAAATATGGGGTGGAGAACAGTATGAAATATCATTTAAGGTGAGTTATGTTCCCTGAAAACTTTTATTTGAAAAAATGCTGAATAATGAAGTAGTTTATAGACGTGAAGCACCAGTTTGCAGTCTTTGTTTTTCTGTGTGTTTATAAAATAAAACTGTTGAAAGGATTTCTGCAACATTTCTTGAAAAGAACATTTTACTTTAATAAACCAAAAATATGGCTAAGAATCGAAAGCCTCTGTGAGGTTACATGCCAACTGCTAAATGATACCTGATCTGTAATATGAGAAGTGAATATTTGAGTGATTGATAGACAAACTGAAAGGCAATCAGTTTCTGCTAAGCTGGTTACGTAGCCAATAGTAAGCCAAGGAAGCAGGAGCATAATGAATGAATAGAATATTATTTTTGTAAGTGTCATGAAACAAAATGGCTTGCTACTATAGTCTTCTGTACGTAGAACACTCTATTGTCATAAGCTGGAACAAATGAATAAATTCATGTGGGCACCTCATCAAATTAAGAAGCTAGCTACTCATGGATCAGCTTGTTCATTGACCTGTGTGAGCTATGAGTTTACTTACTAGAATTTGTTAAGTAGAATAAATACAACTGAGGTCTTCAGCAGTACTTCTGGTGATTAAAAGGCAAACATTAGATTAATAAACAACTTGGTTACTGTAGTTAGCAAATATTTTAATGTCTTTATTCTACAATGCTTTTGTGTTTTAGCTTTAGTTTTGCCTTGTGTTTGCAATTATTTCTGATTTTTTTAAAAAAATACATAGCCATTCTACTAGGTCCTGCATCCAAGTAAATAAGCCCCACTGCCTCAACATGAATCCAACCAACTTGCAAAGATCACAGGGGATAATTTTGCCTTGCCAACAGCCCTTCCCTGATTATTATAATTACTTTTTTTTCTGCTCACCCCAAATAGTTTTTCAAATCTGAACTGTGATGCAAAAAGCCATCAAACTACATTAATTTGACAATTAACATGCAGCAAACAACATTTTCATCTCATTGTTTAACTACAAAAAGCTAAGTGATAAAGACATATTGAAGGTTTCTTATTTCCTCTGTGAGATTTCTTTACAGTTGGTTCCATTTATCCCTTTTACTAGTGTGGGTAAAGAAATAGTGTAATAATGTAATTCTCTGCAGGAGATGGTAAAAGCAGCATTCATCTCTTCCAATTCGGACATTTTCAAAAACAGTAGTTTCCAAGAGTGATGACAGTGACTCTGCAAGCTCTTTGTCTTTGAAATGCTGGAGCAGACACTATTTGATCTGCAGGAAATAAGAATACTTCATTCATCTGCCTACTTGCACACTGTATTGCAGAGTTTTATTTCAGGCCAAGGATGATAATTTATGGTGGGTTAAATTCACTCTAATTAAATCCCAGCAGAAGTCCTCCTTTCTTTGTATTGTTCAACAGAAAAAGATGTTTCGCTGAAATGGTGTGTTTTCAGGAGTTATGATAGATTGATGCTTTCATCTGTGGCTGATAGAAATTCTGATAAAGTAATAAGAATAAAAGATTTGTTCATTAGCAACAAGAACACAGGGTTTTTGAGGCCTAACAGCTATGAAACTTCATATTCAATTTCAAAACTGCATCTGTTTAAACATAAAAAGATGCTGAGATCCTGCCTCCGAAGGAGCACAAAGAATCCACCTAGCACTTCTTCCAAGTAAAATAAATGGGAAATGTTATGTTTCAAAGACCAAATTTTCAACCCATTTTTAACCAACTTTCCCCCCTCCCTCCATTAATCTATTCCAGATTATTGCTAGGGAATTATTACTTGGGGAACTGTGTAAGAAAAGGGAAATTATCAGTTCCCAGCAATTCTAGGAGATAACAAAGGATAGTGTTAATTACTGCACTTATCATTTCATTTCTTTTAATGTAGGGAAATTCCTTTATATACTCACTGGAGCATGTTTGCGTGACATTAGGGAACCTAATTGTCTCTTGTCTTATGTAGCTTATAGGAAGGACCTGCTTCTCCAAAAAGATTCCTGTATCTTGAAAGTTTTTTGATAGCCTGCTCTGGATGAGGATGAAGTAGTCCTATGCAGTCAGCGGTTAAGGAGCTTTTACCTTGTGCTGGTTGCAAGTGAGGCCAGTTTTCTTCAGGTAGATTTTAGAAATGTACAATTTGTATTGCTTTTGATGGGAAGTGAATTAGTTGAATTACTATAAAAATGTTTCCAAGTGTTTAATTTTCACCCAAAAGAAATTTCTCTTTGCAAGATTATTTTTAAGGACTATTAGGTAGTGTAAATATAGCCTGTCCTCTAGAGCAAATGTTTACATTGAATAAAATAGGCATTTAAATATAGAAAGACTCATAGTTCAATGAGGATACCCATCAAGCTTTGAATGACAAGCTATATTTTGAGATTTGATGCAGTACCTCTGATTCTCTGCTTATTCTTGATCAGATTGCTGGTTGTAACATAATGACATGGAATCTCTATCCAACTTCTCTGATGGTTTCCCTATTTTGGCTTTGGATGTGAAGTCTTAGGGGATTCTCCAGCAGTCCTGCTTCCTTCTTAGCTATTCACTGTCTTCAAGGGACAAACTAGACATGACATGGTTTTAAACTATGGAAAGGAAGAATATAAATAAAATTAGTATGATGCTGATTAAAATGCATGTATACATGTAACTTCTTTACATGTTTATGCTCTCTGGAAGACTTAGAAACAGAAGAGCCTTGCTTTTCAGATTTCTCTCTTGCTGCTTATAATATGTTTGCACTGGATTACATTTTTAGTGCTGCGTTTTCTACAGAGTTACTGTATAGCACTGATTAATGCTAGTTATTACTTCTCATGATGTTTTATTTCTCCCCTGTCAGAGCTGTTCCTTGTGATTTTTATATAAAGCTAGCTTTTTTGTGCTTTGTACTATGAACAGTGTTGAATAGATTTTGTTTATATAGGCCTCTGCTTGGGATCAGTAGCTACACAGATAGGAATTTAGGTAGCTTTTAACTAGTTTGGGAGGGTGGAAGTTTAAGAAGTATGTAATCTATGGCACAATAATATATATGCTTTGGTTTATAATTTTTTATTATACCCTACACCCTAACCACTAGACAACATTGACTTTCCTCATAATAGCAGATAGTCTTGGTATGGCCAGTCTGATCTCCTTTCTTGTAAAATAAGACAAGCGACAGGGTGATTGCAAGGCATAAACAGTGCAATCCTGTTATTGAATGCAGATGGACAAATATTGGCATTGTTTAAGAGGCAACAATGAGCTGTGTGCTGCCTAACATACATAAAATTATCTGTGCTAGTAGCTACTGTTTTCTACCAAGAACAGCTGCTTGATAGACACTTGCTATTTTTAATTTCAGTGCTACCTTTTTAATTCTTACCTTCTTTTTCCTTCTAGTGTATAAGGCTCTCTTTCTACCAATCTCTCTTTTTACAGATTAGTATGATAGTTTTCTTTATGCAGGTTGTAATGAATTCTGTCATCACACAAAGGGATTGCTAATAAAATGAATCAAAGCAGCAATGAAAATGAATAGGATGTCTGCTTTTGAAATTAGATTTGTGTTCGAGTAGCACATTATCAGTTGAAAACATGAGTGTTTTTAAAAGCAGTTGAGCTGGGTAAGTGTGAGGAAAGGATATCTGCAGCACATTGACAGGAACTCATAAGCCAGTGGACAAGCAGATTGTGTAATCAGAAGTTGTAATTTTTAATATTAATGGAATGTGTTAATCCATAATGAAGATAGTTTTCTGAAATGCTATGTAAGTCAGACAACACTGGTTCCATCTTAGATGTTTTGGGCTTTTACATATTGGGTGCTATCCAGTGTTAGTCAGGATCAGAATAAGCCCATTTAAAGTTACTGTCTATTGATTTCAGTGTGCCTATTCTGAGTATAACTTAGATGTATATCACCTGTTGTATTTTAATTTTAGCCTGTCCGCCGTTGATCTAATTTCTTTGTTTGGAAGTGTTCTTGTAGCTGTGAGACAATTATGGCCACACTGTGAAGTTCATGGGGGAAATGCTTTCCCCCAGTTGCTTTTGAAGATCCTTTGCCATCCAATCATTTCTTCCGAGAAGGAGGCTTAGGCCCAGATGATAAGCATCAATCTCTCTGGCTGATTATGTTCTCAGCTAACATAGCTAAACACACTCCTACCCTGGGTGGAGCTAGTATATTCACGTTGCCCTCAGCTACCCAAAATCATGCCCCTAAACATTGTTGTAACTGTTGCAATCCCCACTGGAACCTTAGGTGAAGGGGTGGGAATAAATTAAAATAATAATATTCAACTAATTTTTACTCTGAGTAGACCGATTTAAATTAATAGAGCAACTTATTCATGTTCATTATTTTCAGTAGATTTATGCTGAGTAAAATTTAATTGATTACCACCCAGTGTATCCATTAAGAATGGACTAATTAGTCGGTTTCAGTTCCTCTCAGTTCTTCATATTTCCTATCTTAAATCTTCTTTTGTCCCATTTTCACATTATTTCATAAACATTTTGGAAAATCCTACATGGAAATAGGCAAGCATTTTCACTTGCATTTCTCCTAATATAAACATTTTAATACAATTTTGTCTAACATAAGTAATTGTCTAATATAATGCATTTTAAACTTTATTTCCATTAATGTGTACACCTCCCCCTAATACATATATTTTTATACATATCTTTAAGTTTGGGAACTGCATCCTAAAATTCAAAAAATTTGAAGGATAGCTGCATTTCAATCTGCACATTTGCTCAGTAAATGTGAATGAGGTAGGTTCACATTACAATGCTAACAATACCAATTTCTTCCCCATTCCTTGTATCCATTAATGAAACTGCCCATCTGGAAACTGCTCTTTTTGAATTCAAGAATTGATTCAGGGTTGTCACTTATCAAAACCAATGGTGAGCAGTACATTCTCACCACTGTTGAATTCATATTTGACAGGCAAGTCAAAGACTGCTTAATGTTTAGTTTCCTCTACAGAATAAAAGCTGGAAAATGTTTTAATGAAACCTTTGTTGGATCATTAAAATGTTTACCTTAGCAAACCTAGCCAGACAATCCTTTTTAAGACATTTCAGAGCCAGTCTGTTAATAAATGGGCATGGTACTTTAATACAGATTATGTACATTATTAGTCAAAGAACTTAAATTCATTAAGCCTACTGGAATGCATGCACTCAACACTACATCTGTTTCAATTACCTAGACTGGCAAAACTTATATCCATATTTAATCTAGGTATCAAGGAAAGTTCCTAGAGAATGTTGGCACAGATTCAATGCTTCTTGAAGAGAAAATAATTTTGTTGACTCTTGTTGTTGTTTAGTCGATTAGTCGCGTCTGACTCTTCGTGACCTTACTTGGACATAAATAGAGCCATAATTCTGCAAGTAGCATTTAGTTAATTGATGCTCCATTTTTAAAAAATAGTTATGCACGTTTGCTTATTTCAGGAATACATCAGCATATGTATTTCTGCGAAAGCAGCAGTGGAAGGGCATGTTGGCACTGTAGTAGAGTTACAAAATAGCAAGTAAGGTGTTGATGTGTGACCTAAAATCTTTAACTTTCTCCAGATAACTCTGCGATTGTATGTAATAACACTACATAAGAATCTACAAAAGTATTCAACTTTAGTAGTCATGTGTTTACATGTGCATTGACTTTCCGAATTCTTTGAACTACCTAAGCTACATACTGCTTTTGATTCATGCTAGGTTCATTTCTTGGTGTTGGATCTGGTGGTATTTTTATGTCACAGTGGTGACATAGTTTCAAATATGCACAACTTTAAAAGCTTGAATAACATGACGTCTGAATGCATTTATGATGTTTTAAAAATAGTTTACTAAGGTAACAAACTTACTACTTGATATGACTTTGAAAAAGCTTTTATTTCCATCATATTCAGAAAATTCTGATCTGTGCTTACTCTCTCTGGCATCTGACAGGTATGGATGTGTGGGGGTCGTATGGAAGATATTCCTTGTTCCCGTGTTGGTCATATCTACAGAAAATATGTTCCTTACAAGGTTCCTTCAGGAGTCAGCTTGGCAAGAGTAAGAGCCTGTCTTGCTAAATTTCCTTTGTTCCTTGTATTCAGTCAAGATGCAATCTTCTAAAAAGATAGTGGGTGAGATGCATTTTTTAACATTAGTGCAAGAAGTTTGGGAGTTGACATTGTTTTGCAAGCAAATGATAGCACACAAGCTGAACTCTCACAAACCATAAAAATAGTTGCTCTAAGGGTTGCGCTACATCTTTAACAAGTGGTTTCTGTAGTGTAGAGGTTGTCTCATTTGCCTAAAACACTGAAGGTCCCCTTTTCAAAACCAGACAGAAATAGGTAAATATTCTGGGGGAAGGGCCACAGCTCACTGGTAGAGCATCTGCTTGAAGGTCCCTGGCACCTCCAGCTAGAGCTGGGAAAAGCTCCCTGTCTGAAACCCTAGTAACCAGTTGCCAGTCATTGTAGACAATACTGAGCTAGATAGATCAGTACTTTGAGTCAGTATAAGGTAGTTTCCTTTGTTCCTGTTGTGAGATACTCATTGGATTAGGTTGCTGCACTAGATTAAGAACTGAACAAGGCTACGTATAACAATGGCTGTTGGTTGAGCTGGCTGCCACATTTTGATATCCTTTATCTTTAGCTTTCTTTATATTAAAAACCCATTAGAATGACAAACATCATCCCCCCAGTGAAGGGCAAATGTGTCAATAATAGGATGATTCCTTTAAACTGGCAGGACATCTGAAATCAGATTGATTCACATTAATATATTCTTCAGGATAATTCAAAATATGTACACATGAGGATCCTCAGTGTTACTACCCAGACATTAAAAGTTTGTCCTCTCACATGAGTGAATTTGTCCTCTCACGTTAGTGAATTTTCATATGCAAAGATGAGTGCTTTTATTTGGTATTCAGAGGTGTGTAGTTTAAAGAAGGGTAGATACTCCCTCTGGTGGGAAAAGACAGTAACAGAAGAAGAAGAAACATGACTGAAAAGACTTCTCTCTCCCTGAGTCACAATTAACTACCTAAAGAACACAATTACTTTTAAAGTTCTTTTTGATGAAATACAGTAGATGCTCAGGGCCCAGTTTAATTCAACCTTTATAGAATGTTCTGGTTGTCTGACTCCTTGGAAGAGCAGTCATCTTACTGTACCATCTGATTGGGTTTGGACTTATTAATGTAGTATTTTGAAGTCCATAAAGCCCTTTATGCGTGCCTCCATGTAAGGCAGCTAATTAATCTCTCATATGTGCATCCTGTATAATTCAAATTTATGGATATGCTTATTTTCAATTCTTCATTTCAAATATATTGTCAACTATGTAGAACCTGAAGCGTGTTGCTGAGGTGTGGATGGATGAATATGCAGAGTACATTTACCAGAGGAGACCTGAATATCGGCATCTGTCTGCAGGAGATGTGACTGCTCAGAAAGAACTTCGCAGTAATCTCAACTGCAAAAGTTTCAAGTGGTTCATGAATGAAGTTGCTTGGGACTTGCAAAAGTTCTATCCACCAGTGGAGCCTCCAGCAGCTGCCTGGGGAGAGGTTGGTTTATTCAAGAAATTCAGCTGTATCAAGAAGTCCCAGCCATGCTATGGTGTATGGTTGCAGATCAAACCACAGGATTTCCACTACCCGCTGAGTCCATCTTTAAGTGAAATGGTTGTGCATGTTTACTTCTGTACATACTTGATGGTGCAGAACTTTTCAGAAGGGATGGGAAACCTGAGGCCTTCCCAAAGTTGCTGGACTTCCACCTCCCATAAGTGCCAGCCAACAGAGCCAATGGTCATGTATGATGGGAGGGGTGATCTAACAACACCAGTTTCCATATCCCTGTCATGCAGGAATTTAGTGAATGTATATGAATATGGCTAGAAAAGGTTGTTTTCAATACACTTCAGAATCCATTAGCAGAAAGCCTAACTTTACTAAAACTATTGAAAACAGTACACACTGAACTTCTGAGGTATGTTTGCTCCTTAAGATTTACATACTATGACAGCCCATTATCAGGTTTAACCCTGACCTAAGAATGGGTAGTAAATCCAAGGCTTTGATCATTTCTTTTTTAATATCACTGCCTTCACAATTCTCCACTGAAGCCACTTGTTAAATGGCTCTCAAGCTCAGATGTGTATTCAACATGCTGCTTCTTTTCCTTTGAGACACAGAGCAGATTGTTCTAGATCCCTTTTCTTGGCTTCTCAGTTCTTGAGAATTCTTGTCACATCCACACACATACATATATAGAAATCATATTGTCTTGTGTCTTTGCATTTATGCCAGCGTTTGTTATGGGATAGCATAGGGACTGCCTGTATTTCAGCCCCCTGTTTACACACATTTAATATGTGTGTGACAATGTATATGCACATTGCACCAAACCCAGAAGTGACCTTGAAACATCATAAAGACATCACTGAAATGTCACTAAAAGGGCAGAATGGGGTGTTTGCAGGCTTTTTCAGTGCATTTCTATTATACGCGATTTCAATGACATGCGCAGTGCCTCAGAATGTAGGCCCTGTGTAAGCAGGGGACCAACCCAGCAGTTCAAAAGCACACCAGTGCAAGTAGATAAATAGGTACCGTTGCAGCGGGAAGGTAAACGGCGTTTCTGTGCGCTCTGGCTTCCATTACGGTGTTCCGTTGCACCAGAAGCGGTTTAGTCATGCTGACCACATGACTCGAAAAGCTGTCTGTGGACAAACATCGGCTCATTCAGCCTGAAGCGAGATGAGTGACACATCCCATAGTTGCCTTTGACTGGACTTAACTGTCCAGGGGTCCTTTACCTTTACCTTTTACCTGTACTTCAGTTTCCTTGACTGCCTCTATGTCAAGAAGTTAGATGCAAAGCTAATCAGCAACTTAATCTTTCAGGTCCGTAATGTAGGAACCGGCCTCTGTGCAGATACCAAACATGGAGCCCTTGGTTCCCCACTACGGGTTGAAGCCTGTGTGAAAGGCAGAGGAGAAGCTGCCTGGAACAGTGTGCAGGTATTTGCATTCTTTTTTATAATTATCTCATTCTTATTGTTTCCGCAGGCAGTTTTAGAAAGAACTATTTTATGCAAAGTTTGTATTACTGAAATACCACAATATCTTCACTAATGTAAGACTAAGAGGGGGTTTGCTAGGGGAGTAGAATGTAATCTGCTGGTCTAGATATTACACAGATGCTAATTATCAAGCTGAAGGCCTTGGTATGTAAACACACCTGGGGTGCAGGAGATGAGTACTTTAAATTATGTGCATGAGTGCTGTGGCAGAAAACCATTATTATCTGGAGCCAAATCCTGAGGTGACTAGAGAGGAGGCAGACAGGAAAAGGTTAATAAGACACTAGTCATGCAACTGTACTATGCACTGACATCATTTCTAAGTATCTTCTGAAAAACCATATTAATGAATCTGCTACTATATCCAGTGACCACTTAGTGTCACAGGAGGTATAATTAACACTCCTGTGGATGCTAATGAGAGATTAAACTGGATAGGGAATATTTTCACCGAATATTTTCATTTCTTAATGTATAAGATGCTAGAAGTGACAGCTTTATTCTAACATAATATGTAAAATGATAAGTTGCTGACTACCATTTCAGTTGCCTGGAAATGGAAAATTAAACCAACTGACTTTGAAACTTACCATATTTTTCCGTGTATATGACTATATTTCCCCCCTATTTTTTCAAGTTTAAAATTGGGGGGGGGGGGTCATCTGATAGTGCATATGGGGGATTTCTTTATTTGGAGTCCCAAAAAATAGGCGTTGTGTTATACACAGGGGCGTGTTATACACAGAAAAATATGGTAAATCCAAAAGGCCTGCATGAGTTTTATATGCAATTTATGTTGAGTTGTAAAAATTAATGTGGATGTTGAAATATATTTTTGGTCTAATTCTTCCATAAAGAGATTTCCTTTGTTTTTTTATTAGTACTAACAGTAGCAGCATGAAACAGTTGCTTCCATGTCTTCTCATTACTGAATTGGTGTGGTGGTACTTCAACTCCAGAGATATTCCTGCTGTCCTCCAAAAGAATACAAGCCTATAGAGCTCCAATAACCACACATTTTGTAGAACTGTTCTTGCTGTAGTGAATCTTGTTGTCTCTCGTTTTTCTTCCTGTTGTTAAATCTTTCAGTGCTAGTCAGTTTCAACTAAGGGAAATTACTGTGACAGATTGTTGGTTATGGTCAGCTAGGTTTTGCTCCAGAGTAGACTCATTGAAATCAATAAGCTTGATTAAGTTAGGTTTATTTTATTCACTTGGTTTGAATAAAATTTAAAAAGCACCCTATATTAGTTCCATTTCTTTTCTTCCCATTTATTTATTTATTTAGCAGATTTATATCCTGTTTTTTAACTACAGTCTTCAAAGTGGCTCACAATATTTATAAACATACAATAGATACTTCAAGAGCCACTCACTTAAAACAAACCAAAATCAATCTGCTCCGTTTGAGCAACTGATGTTCTTTTCCACAGGGCAACTGGTATTAAATGGCCCGTGGGGGGGTGTCATTTGCAGGCTTCCAGTTCAAACACAACTGCCATTGTAGAGCTCCTTTTCAGTGTTTGCGTTTCTTAACAATGCCACAATTCTATTTCTGTATTTCTTGCCCTGTCCAAAGGAGAGGGTAGTTCTTCACATTGAGTAGTACTGAAGGGCAGGGATGCATAAAACAAAGAAGTCTGGATTTTTGTCCTCATCGTTTGTTCTGAGGGTTTGATGTTTGTCCTAGCAGGTGTTCACATTTAGCTGGCGAGAGGACATCCGTCCAGGAGACCCCCAGCACACAAAGAAATTCTGTTTTGATGCTGTTTCCCACAACAGCCCAGTGACTCTCTATGACTGTCATGGAATGAAGGGGAATCAGCTATGGAAATACAGGAAAGTGAGTGTGTTATTACTCAGAATGTGGAAACCATTACTTCTGCATTATGGTTAACTGTAATATCTTGAAAAATATTCATATTGTAATATTTTGTCCCTATGTTTGGGACAACATGTTATGTGGAATCCCCTTTTTATTAAAAGAACAATAGGGCATAGTAACATCTCTTCCAGAGATAGCAAATAAACCTGCTTGTTGTAAGTGTACCATATAAAGTGGTATTCAATTGTTCCATGATAGGAACTTTTCCTGTCATGCCACTCGTATACTGCTCTTCTACTTGGGAACAGGGGGGCTTCAGATATTGGACTTAAACTCCCCTCACCAAACTCCCCTTAGCTAAACTAGCTGGGGCTGATGGAAATTGGAGTCCAGCAACAACAACTGATGGGCCATAGGCTTTGAAAAGTTTATCCTTTTTTAAAAAAGGAACAAAGACCTGGGATTATATTCATGGATGGCAGAAATACTCAAAAGCAATGATAATTGCAGTATCTATAAAGTACAAATTTCCACAATACAAAACAAGGAATCATAAGGCAGGCTTGGGTAAACTGTTGTCATGAGGGCAAGACATCTTCCCAAGGAATCTCAGGGTTCAGATCTCATCATTGACCCCTGCTTCATAATATCAGTGAACCCAATTCTAGAATTCTTAAGCCACATGAAGAAGTGTTGAAGTTCAGTGAGGTGTAGCCCAGACATTCCAGTGCCTACTTCAGAAAGATTTGGATACAAGTAAGAGTTGAAGACAAGGACAATAAGTTAACAATATGCTTGCGCGAAACACTATTCCAAGTGAGGTCTAGTGGATAACCTGTTGGATTTGAATAAGGGAAGAGTGATTTTCTTCAGTACTCATTTTTTATTTCAGTTGTGAAGATAGATTTATTTATTTATTTATTTAGTTTGAAATTGCTTAGCTAAAGCAATGTACAGTACAATAAATGTGGAGAAATGCTACTTCTAAAGAAGAGCTGCTGTTAGATAAGTAATAAAATGACAGATACATTTTTTTTTAAGCTGCTTTCTGAAGTCTGTGGCATATATTCAAGTCCAGCAAACTGATTTCTAATTTTCATCCTTAGGACAAGACTCTTTACCACCCAGTAAGTGGCAGCTGCATGGACTGTAGTGAGAGTGACCGAAAAATCTTCATGAGCACATGCAATCCTTCCTCTCCGACACAGCAGTGGATATTTGAACACACAAATTCAACAGTCTTGGAAAACTTTAACAAGAATCTTGATCTTTAAAGACTATCTATATGTATATATTACAGCTATAATTTTTACAGGGGAGATGACAAATTTTTTAAAAGAATAATTTTTTAAAAACAATAAAAGGGAAAATCTCAGGAGAGGGTGTGACTATCAGGCCAGTCTTTACTTTGATGATGCTGCATCCCATTAACAAGATGTCTAGAAATCTATATTGCTATAATTACACCACAGATTGAAACCTAGTTCTCTAATGCAGGACCGTATCCTTTCATAATCTTCTAGTTTTTCAGCTATTAAGGTCACATCTAAGCCCGCGTATTTTTCATAAGGGTAATGTGCAACTGTCATGAATTCTGCACCACATTGTCTCAAAGCCAAACCCATAGATCCATACAGCAGCCAAGGATTAGTGTTATGATAATGCATATCTCCAGTCTGGATGGTTTAAGAGCAGTGTTGGCACTGGCTTTTTACACTGACCCTTAGTTTGGTGGCATGAAGTTGTTCATTGCACTGGAGCTCTTGAATAGAGCCGTTCCCTACCAAGAGAGAGATTTGCAGTTGTTGGACTACAAACCCCATGGGGATTAGCTGCATGAGGAGCTGCAGCCAATCCTTGTCAAAAGTTGAATGCATACCCCTTTCAACAGGCATCTTCCTTTGCAGCCCAGCTTGAGTTCAAACATAGGAAGAAAAGAGTCAGAAAGGCTCTTGGAGTACACTCCCAATTCTTTCATTTGAAGCTGGGCTGCCTGACATGGCGATGTCAGCTTATTGGCAGGTGGGTGGCCCTACCCACCTGTCAAAGTAGTCTACCTGGGAGGGGAGGGGAACTCAGGATCCCACCCACCAGACAGATCCTCTGCCAGACCCCTGAGTTAGGCAAATCAGCTGAGTCATGGATAATATACCTGTTCACAGACATACGACTTGAACTCAAAAGACCCAGTTATACAGACAGAACTAGGGCTAAAATTCTAAGATCGCTGCATGAAATTTAATTCCCCAGTAACATGGGTGAGACGGACTTCCAAATAAGTATGTTTTAAGATTGCAGTGAAATTCTTAGTGACGTACCTGTTAAACCAACTTATAGCATCCAGCCACACCTGGGGCTGCATGCACAACAATATCCTACCAAAAAATGACAACTGCAGTGCTCTACAAAAGTACAGTGGTGCCTCGCAAGACAAAATTAATCCGTTCCGCGAGTATCTTCGTCTAGCGGTTTTTTCGTCTTGCGAAGCAACCCTATTAGCGGATTAGCGCTATTAGCGGTTTAGCGGCTATTAAAGGCTTAGCGGCTTAGCTGCTAAAAGGCTATTAAAGGCTTAGCGGCTTAGAAAAAGGGGGGGAAAGCGGGAAAAAAATCTCAAGACTCGCAAGACATTTTCGTCTTGCGAAGCAAGCCCATAGGGAAATTCGTCCTGCGAAGCGCATTGAAAACGGAAAACCCTTTTGTCTAGCGGGTTTTCCGTCTTGCGAGGCATTCGTCTTGCGGGGCACCACTGTAAAGGATACATAAAGTGCAGCATCTTTCACAGCTTAGGCCTCCCTGCATCTCATTCCAAATGACTTAAATGATCATCTTTAAAATCTTCATTGAAAATAACTGGAGTGTGATTCCTGTCAGTTTTTCATATTCACGAATTTGACTTTACAAACTCCCCAGTTCCGTGTTAGCTGCAGTTTTACTCAGCATTCCCCATTGTCCAATATTTTTAGGTTAGTGAATTGGGCAAAATATTTTACAGCACAATTCTCTTGGCTTCAGTTAGACCTTGATATCATTAGTTTTTCTTGACGTAGTTAAACCTGCATTTTTGTTCAACTCAGGCTGAGATCTGTTTTAAAATATCACTAGTGATAGATGATTTCCTGTGGGGATTTTTAGAGGATTGTTTTTAATGCCTTCCCGTGTGTTAACAGGTGCTAATTTGCCTCTTCCAGTTCTACCTCACTAGTCTGTCACTGGTTATCAAAACAATGTCTCATGGTACACTCAGAAGATCAATTCATACTTAGGTTTATTTATTTTGTTCAGTTAAGGGAAATAATCCACATGCAGGGATTTCCTGTTAAGGACACCAATATGAAAGGAAAGAGCTGTTCTGGGTGTGAAGGCTTCCTTGTGCATATATAGACTGCTGGTCATGACCTCTTTCCTTTATTTCTTCCAACGCTAATTTCTTTCACCTCAATTCTGATCCCATGCTAGCTGAATTTTCTGCTCCTAGTTTGTTCCAGTCATCCTTATGTTTTTCCATCAAAAGTAATATGTGTCTAATTTAGCAAGCTAGTACACCTTCAGTTAATGATACATCTAAGAACTAGTGCTGTTTGCAGTGGGCTACTAACCAGATGGCAAAGTAACAGGAATTTAAAAATTAAAAAGGCCATTAATTCATATTTCATATTCCCCGTTTAGCTGCAGAATCACATACCCTTCTACTTACTTCCCATCATCTTTTTGTTCCCTGTAATGTTTTCTCTGCAATAAAACTGAAGGCCATTGTCTAGGCAGGGTGAAAACATAATTATGCTGAATAGTCAATACATAGGTTGAGTTGAAGTACTGTAATGTTTTAGTGTTCATGCAGTAGTAATCTTTACAACAGTCCTGCAAAGTAGACCAGTATTAGTGCAAGGCTGTCTAACAAGTTCATGACTGAGGTGAGACTTTAATTTAGGGAGTTTTTATCTTGCAATCTCAGACACTTTACTATGTTGCTCTAGGAAAGTTTCTGTGATTGTTACTATCCTGTTGAAACCAAACACCAAAAGCCAGATGTTAAAATATTCTTAAGAGCTTCCTCTCTGCAGCAATATAAATACTTGTCAAGTTACAAAATATCTTAAACATATTTAACTCTGGCTGAGTGGCGATCTCTGCACATAAGTAATGCATTCAATCCTGGAAGCCCCAGGCAATGGTTTGAAAGCATTGTTAGCAGGCCACCTGTTGGTTGAGAAATGAAAATGCATTTTACTACGTTTATCTGTAATTAATCTTCTGCTTTATTTATATTCATAATAACTAAAGCATGAGTCTATAAAACCGTATTTGCATGCATGATAAGGGTGTCAGATAACAAAACTGAAAATACTTTGCTCTTGAATATTTTAGGATGTGTAGCTAAGATTCCTGGTCACACTTCAGTTACTTGACCTCAACTTCCTTGTGCTAAGCAAAAAAACTGTTCAGTTGTGCTGACACTAAGGCTTTTGGAGGAAAGCAGTGTGCACAGTATTAACATGCACATTGGGTGTCCGTGTTTTGTTCCAGTCAGGCCTGATTTATACTTTTGATTTCAGCATAATTGCTGCTTGAGAAGCACCTCCACAGGATGGATCAAAGAGAGTGTAGTGGGGGGGATGGTGGGTAGGTTGAGCAAGCAGTTTGTGTGAAATGGCTCCCTACGTGGTTGTAGTGATTTCAGTATGGCATCTCAATTCAAAAATCTAAATGTTTTCAATGGTTTGGTTGAAATGTGTGGACTGAAATGTGTCTGTTGCTAGCAGTGATATTATCTGAATCCTTCAAAGCCATCTGAAGATCTTGGCTGCAGGAAATAACCCCATCTGGTTTAGAAAATTCTTGTATTCAAACATACACCTTTTGTGGTCTTAAGTAATGTTATCAAAATCAAATTTAACAGCATCATTAAAATAAAGAAGTGCCTTTTTAAATGCAAATGTTCAGCAAGTACCTAAACTTGAACAATTTCCTAGTGCCTTGGACTGGAGTGGGATGTTGGATGTACAAGAGTACAGTACAATGTGCAATTAGTGATGTTTTAGGAAGATTTTTGTGTTTAAATATCCAATTTCAAGTTCATATTGTAGAATGGAAAGTTTATGGTCTTGGTTTAGAAAACCAGTTGCTAAGTTTCATTACTCAAAACAAAAATGGTGTAAAGGACGTGAATGAGCATCCCTATATACCCCTGATGGCTGATTCTGACAGTTTCGTAAGTGGCTCCTGATCCCAAATGTTGGCATACAAACATACAAGGTTCACCATGCAGTGTCTTCCACCAATAGTCTATGACACATATCAAAATAAATCAACAGGGTAGCTTCCATAAAATGTATGGGTCATTCATTAGAAATATTTGTCAATATCTAGTCCAGGCTTCCTCAACCTCGGTCCTACAGATGTTTTGAGACTATAATTCCCATCATTCCTGACCACTGGTCTTGCTAGCTAGGGATCATGGGAGTTGTAGGCCAAAAACATCTGGAGGGCCGAAATTGAGGAAGCCTGATCTAGTCAGCATCATAACAGAGAAGCAGTAAAGCAACTTGTTTCCACCCTCATACATACATACTTGAATACCTTTTTCAAAATGGTATCTGTTTCACTCAGCGGAGCAAACACCTGTAGAGTTTGACCCAAAAGCCTCTATACAGCATATCCCAAGCAGTTGAAAGGTTAGCTATCAGGACAATGTGTGAGTACTGTGTTCCTGTAGGCCATAGTGGTGTGACACAAGTGGCTTTATCATTACAAGGATTCGTGGGCTATATAAAAAGACATATTTTCACCGTCAAACGGCCTCAGTACTGTATACCTGAAGAAGCATCTCCACCCCATTGTCCAGCCTGGACACAGATCCAGCGCCGAGGGCCTGCTGGTGATTTCCTCACTGTGAGAAGTGAGGTTACAGGGAACCAGACAGAGGGCCTTCTCGGTAGTGGAGCCTGCCCCGTGGAATGCCCTCCCAGCAGATGTCAAGGCAATAAGCAACTATTTTACTTTTAAGAGACAACTGAAAGCAGCCCTGTTTAGGGAAGTTTTTAGTGTTTGATGCTGTATTGTTTTTAATATTCAGTTGGAAGCCGCCCAGAGTGGCTGGGGAAACCATAATAATAATAATAATATCATCAAAACAATACTGCAATTTGATTAGATTTTTGCTATGAAGCTGTGATGTAAAAAACAACAACAACCACATCTGAAAAGAGCAGAAGACTTACAGTAGTTTGCTTTATGTTTCATAGAACTACTCACAGTACTAACATGGATATAACCACCCCTGGTTTAAGACAGTCTAAACTAGTGTAAGCAGTCTGATTAGCTTCTTAATATACTGTAATATCTAAACTAGCTGAATTCCTACTAATTTCAACAGGACTTGCTGCTTAGCATGTACAGAAATGCTCAAAGGCCTTGCTGCAGAGTCCTTCTGGGCACCCTATCAAATATGAAGAAGAGTTCTAGAAGGTTCCTTAACTTGTGGTAAACATTGAGGCATTTTCCACCAATTTTATTTCATTGGAAAGTGCTTGGAAGATACTAACAGCATAGAGGTGTCTTCTCAACTTTGTGATTTTGCTTCTGTTTTGTGGGTAACCATGTCCAAAATTAGATGTGATGGCAGCAAAAAAATGGGGAAGGGAGTCTTAAGAACAAAAAGAGTGTACCTGTGAGAGCCTGTAGAAAGAGTTTGTGTGCAGAGAGAAAGAGAAAGCGCTGAACCTTCCCCACACCTGCCACTCACCTTCCTGTGGCCCGTTCCTCACCCTTTGTTTCCCAGCCTGCCTTATTTCCTATATTAGAGCCTAGATGAGCGAAAAGTGACATGGGGGGACAACCCACAAGGAGATGCTCTGAAGACAGGGTGAGTGGTTAGGGTTTAGCACATCTTCCCAAATAAACCTTTTAAATTATATCTGATACAAATTGCTTTATTTGTGATGGGAGGTAGAGAAGTGTAGCTGCAAATGCTCACATGTAGTTTGGCTTTAGATTTTTCTAGGGTCTCAGTGTTATAAACTCTATATGATTCCTAAGATGTCACATGTAATCATATATGGAACAAGATGACAATTTAGATAAAAATTCATTACCCATTAATAAAAGGCTTTTTGACCTGCATTCTGTTCAGGACCATCCTAATGCTTCTGTAGTCACCCAGAGATTTCCAGTTTCAATTTGATTAGGCTAGAACCATGCAAGCACATTCCATTGTTGCAAATAGGTAGGAGCTTTTTATCCTAAATAAAATTATATTAACTAAGTTAATGACATTGCATTGTATAATCAAGCTAACTGGCTAAGGTTGCAATTGTAACACCACTTACCTGGGAGTAAGCCCATTGACTTCAGTAAGCCTTACTTCTGAGAAGAAATGGTAAGGATTATGTTGGAAAACACCATCTCTCTTCCAACAATAGTATCAAGTGGCCAACTATGTTTTGAGATGATGTTATACAGGGACTCTTTGTTTCGACATTGTAATGCATGCTTAACAGATTGTTTGAAATTGGATGTTGCAGCATAAACCAGTGTATTTATTTTGTGCATCTCAGGACACTGTCCTATTGTGTTGGGGGGAGGTAAAGGATGTCTAGCACTTTAATTTAGAATCTTTGATAAATTGGAAATCATTTGGGTGTAAGGTATAGTGTTTCTAAGAGATGAATGGACTTTCTTTTATAATATATTTAAAATAAATTTGTATTGTGTCTTTTTCTGAACATCTTTGGAAGTGTTCTGTTTTGCATTAACCAAAGCATTTTATGTGGATATCTTCTGGATTGAAAAGTGTCCTGAGATCATATTGCCTTCCAAAATGCACTCTCCAGTAGCTTCAAATCCCAGACTACAGACATTGACCTCTTGATTTTTATCACTTTTTTAAAAACATCAAGTATTTTTTCTGAAATTTGTTATACTAAAACATGAGACTTAGAGAGTTGGGGTGTAGTGAGTTGCAAGAACTGCCTCTCCCCACATGAACCATCTGAGACTTTGTGGTCTTCAACAAAGGCCTTCTCTAAGGGAAGTGTGGAAGGGTGACTACATAAGAACAAGCTGTTTCAATAGTGGCTCCCTATCTGTGGAATGTTCTCCCCAGCGAAACATGTCTGGTGCCATCATTGTTGGTTTTTAGGCTCCAGGCCAAGACATTTTTATGTATCCAGGCTTTGATTGTTAAATTAGCTTTTATTCTGGTACTCACTTTTTAGTGGGGCAGGACTTTTACCTTCTTGTCTTGTTGGATGGGCATTTTACGAATGTTGTATGTCATTTAAAATTTGGCTTTTAATTGATTTTATCTGTGTTTTAAGTTGCTTTGAGACTGCTCTTGTTTTGTATCTAGCAACTAACAAATGCAATACATTATTTTTTATTCCACTTATATTCTGCTTAAAACCAGTGTCTAACATTAAACAATGAAGTTAGAGATACAATGGATAAAATCATTTAAATTCACCATAAAATCAGAAAGGCTTGTTTTTAAAACCCCTACTCCAAAAAAAGAACAAATTCACCAGGTACCTGAAGTTCAGTAGCGGAGGGCCTGTCTGAACTCAAGCGGAAGAGGGGTCCACAGCATTGGCTCCACAATACTGAATGTGCAGCTCTGATAGATGAGAGCCCTGCATCTGAACCATGGTGGTCTGCTGACAGCAACTCTCCTTGACCTCAGTGATCAGGCAAGGATATAATGCATTGCGATCAAAGTATCCTGGGCCCAAGATATTAGGAGCCTTATGAAGTTTCCAGCCCCTCATGTGCATAGACATTTGGTTCATGCTACATGTGTGAGGGGGGTTTGACTGAAAAGAGCTGGCTACTTTGGTCTAGGGTGAGAGAAAGGTATCTCTGCTCCCCCTTGGATCCCGGGAAAGTCCTCCTGTCTGGGATTAGAGGTAACCTAAGGGAGAGTGGTGGAGCTGCTAAGAACCTCTGGCATGTCTGGTCTACCCAGACTAGCAGTTGGGGAAGGGAGTGACAGCTCTTCTTGCCCCATCAACTTACAGTGGTACCTCTGGTTACATACTTAATTCGTTCCGGAGTTCCGTTCTTAACCTGAAACTGTTCTTAACCTGAAGCACCACTTTAGCTAATGGGGTCTCCTGCGGCCGCTGTGCCGCCGGAGCACGATTTCTGTTCTCATCCTGAAGCAAAGTTAGCAGAGTCTGTAACCTGAAGCGTATGTAACCCCAGGTACCAATGTATAGCCAAAACTCAAGTTTTTTGGCCCTCATTCAGTCCACCACTCACCCATACAATGGTCCAGATCATGCGAGACTCCTGACTCAGATGTTATAAATAGAACTGTGTTTCATTGGTGTACTAATGACATTTTGCCCCCAAACCCCTAATGACAGATCCCAGTGGATTCATACAGAAGTTGAACATCATTGGCGACAAGATAGAACACCATAGTACAAAGATCATAGGGCTGAAAACACACATTTTTCTTACCTGTTGATTTCTGTTTAATAATAATAATACTAGATTATATTCCTTACATATGGAATGATGACTCCCTCTGCTGGATTATGCAGGATAAATGAAGTCCATGGAGAATGCTGAGCAATTAAAAAAATTTCCCCTTCAAAATCTCAAAGCCCACACACTTGTTCTGGTCCCATACATACCCATTATATACTTCTATTTAAACTCAGAGGAGCTCTGCAAACATTTGTATCAATATCCTGTTATGTGGCCAATCCGCTCTCTGTATCATTTAGCCAATCCTAATCTAAGAATAAGGCCATTCTTGGAGAACTACCAACTCTTAATTAAGACTTTTCGGGCGGATTTGTCTCGTTTGCCTGTTCCTGATTCCAGCTCCAAGCGTGCCTCCGACCTCGGGCTCCCTGCTTTCCCGGACCCTAACCTGCTTCTTCCTGTCCTGGGGTCCCCATGGGGCTCGGAGTTTTGTCTCCTCCAAATTCTCCAGAATCTTTGCCCCCGCCAGTTCTTTTAACACCCTCGCCATGGACGTAGCCAGGATTTATTGGGGGGAGCAGAACCGAGTTATCTGCGACGCAACTGGTCAGTTACGGTTAGCTAAGTATTTTTATTTATTTAACTTGATTTAGGAGGGCAGCTGCCACCACCCTGGCTACGCCAATGACCTTCCCCTTTTCCCAGTTTCGCCCTTTCCACCCACCCACATACCCTAGTCGTCTTCCTTTCCTTACCAGGGTCTCTCGGATCCACCCCACTCGCGCCGCCGCAACTCCGTTCCTTTTCCTACATGCCTTTCTCGCCAGCTGCGGCAGATCCGAGCATCCAGAAGAGGGGATAGGAATAGCCCGTAGCTTTTTTTTAGTATTGACAAAGCTTGCTGTGGTGCCTGTGAAAGACAGAGACAGGTTTAACGCAGACTCCTGCGCTGCCCAGGGTTGGACTAGATTAAGCATAGGCAAACTCCGGCCCTCCAGATGTTTGGGACTACAATTCCCATCATCCCTAGCTAACAGGGCCAGTGGTCAGGGATGATGGGAATTGTAGTCCCAAACATCTGGAGGGCCAGAGTTTGCCTATGCCTGGACTAGATGACTCTCAGGGTCCCATTCAACCAAGTGTATTTATGTACAATATTAAATCCACCCAATGCAGTCCACCCGCTTTTTAAATTGTTACAAGGCGCTCCTTTTTCGGGTTAGGTCTTAAGCAGCGCAACCTTAAGCGTGTTTACTCTGATGTAAGTTGTTTTTTCCCTCGCTCTGCATGTAAAACAGGCTTCGGAGCTGCATCTGAAACTTCCTCCCTCCGCCCTGCCAGCCTCCCTCTTCCCCCTCCCCTCCGCTTTCATTCTATGTGCGGACTTCAAACACTCTCCTAGCAACCGCCCCCATCGCAGGAAACAGCCTATCGCCGCAGACGGACAGCCGCTCCGCCGAATAGGCCGTGCGTGCGGCGGCACAGTTCCCGGCCTTCCGCACTCGAGCAACCAATGGCTGCTCGGAGACGGGACTTCCGGCAAAGGTGGAGGAGGCGGAGCGGGCAGGTTTTTGTGTGTGTGAGAGAGAGAGAGTAAAGAGAAGGCGAAGAGAGCAGAGAGCAGTCAGTCGCTGGCTCCCTCGGGAAGGCGGGGGAGGTCCGGCTCTCCCTGCTCGGGCGGCGGAGGGCAGGCAGCAACGGCCACCTCCACCTCACGAGGCTGCCGACAGCGGGGGGGGGTGTCTCCGAGTGAAGGGAGCTTGAGCGGCGCCCGCTTCTGTTGTTGCCAAGGGAGGGAGGGGGTCGCCTGTCAGGAGTTGCTCTCTGAGAGGCCGGTGGAGGGGGGGCGGCAGGGCGGAGGCGAGTGTCCCCCTCGGGGGCGGCGGGGCAGAGTCCCGGGGAGGACGAAGGGGGTTGGGGAGGTTGCGGTGTGGCCGGAAAGGGCGTTTGTGGTCCGAGGATGGAAAGAGAGTGGGTTTTGTAAAAGAGCGGGGAGAGGGGCGGCTGCCCCACAGACGGTTTCTGTGGGTCCCTCGCGGTGTGACACACTCGACGGGTGGGGGGAGGAAGAGGTGGAGGTTTCCTTGGGGGGAGCTGGGAAAGGCTATAAAAGGGGCGCGGGGAGGAAGTGTCCTGCTGACAGTCTGCTTTGCAATGTCCCTTTAAGGCAGGTGGATAAGCCCAGGGTCGGATAGGCCGGGGGGGGGGGAGGGCTTCGCAAAACCCGGGCGAAGTAGCCCAGAGGCGGGGAGGGTCGCTGCCCGCCTGCCTTCGCTTTCTCTCCGCGGGGCTGGGGGGAGGCTGCGATGAATGGTTTCAGCACTGAGGAAGACAGTCGGGATGGGCCTCCCACCACCCCTTTCTACGGACAGAGTTGCTGCCTTATCGACGACGGGGACCGCTGCGTCCGCCCGGCTGGCAATGCCTCCTTCAGCAAGAGGATCCAGAAGAGCATCTCCCAGAAAAAGCTGAAGCTGGATACTGACAAAAGCGTGAGTTGTGCTGGGGTGAGGGGTGGGATTGCCTCGATGTGCTGCATTTCTCTGTGTTTGCCCTTTCCTGAGAATAATCTCAGATGTTGTTGGTGTTGATCTAATAGCTAGCTGCTGCAGCAAAAGCTTCGAAAGGTTTGTGGAGGCTTTTGGTTGCAGTTTTCAGGCCACCCATCGTTGGAGATGAGCAGTGCTTTAGCAGTACACAAACTGCATTCACTGTAACTTACAATAACTATAACTGGTTTTTTAAAAATAGTTGAAATGAGAGCATGTTGCCTCTACAGTACTTATGTCTTATGTTTCTAGCGTGGAAACCCACGTAGATAGAGATTTTGCTTCTTTTTTGTTATAGGAAGAGAGTCTACAACATCTTATGTGGTCTCTAACTACATACTATATTTTTGTCCAGTCTAGCTTTATAAAGTTATGCTGAGTAAAAGAGAGAGAGAGAGATCATGCATACAAATATAATAATAGAAATGGGAACAACAATTAACCAACTTAATTCAGAGTGGAAATACACTTTAATCTCATGATAGAGTGATATTAATTGCACAAAGTTCACAACACATTGCAGATTAGGGAAGACAGCATCATGTCTGGTCGAGGTAAGAAGCTATAACCAGTTCTGAGCTTTTAAGAGCAAGGGTGGAGGTGTCTATAATGCTATGTAAATATATAGCACTGGTATATAGAGGACATTTATCAGTGGCAGTTTGAGGAACCAATAAAACATCCACTTCTTTGTCAAAGGCTATACAGTATTACTGTTTGTTATTGACACTGTGTGGCATTACTTCTGGGAGCTGTTGTATGTACAGTATTTATAATTGACTGGTGTGCCTCTGCAGATTTCAGGCTGTGCTGTTGCCTTGAAAGGGCTGGTTTTAAAAACCTGCTAAATCTCCAACCCTGAAGTAACAAAAAACTTTAATATGGTACAGCAAATGCACAAGAGTCCTGTGGAACTGTAGTGTAAGCTTTCATGGATGTTATCAGATGCCTACTCACTAGAATGATAACTGCAATGCTCTGGAGACAATGAAATAGTCCTCAAGTCTCAAATTGTGGTTAATGAAATTTACTGCCTCTTTGTCCCTGCTCTGTACATGCATGGAGCAGCTATAGGCCAAATAGGTAACTGATGTGCTGTCAGACTAAAAAATAAATAAGTTATACAGAAGTAAGTCTGGTATAAATTTACCTTTATATTTCAAATCATAATAAACCCTCACTATACTGGGTGCCCTGTTATGTAACTTACCAACTTCCAACGCACTTGGATCTTTTTCTTTTGCAAGCTGATTTGTAGACAATTATTCAGTGTCCCAAGCTAGGAACTAATGCTCAATAAATACTTTCAAATAATTTCTCAGTTCATATTTTGGGGTTCTGGAATGCCAAGTCCCATTCTGAAACTATAGAAGGGAGAAATTTCTGTTGGAGGAATAAATTCATCTGCTCCATGTACAGCTCCACATTCTAAGCCACAACTTCAGTTTCCCAGACTTCAGCTTATTTACCTCTGCAAGTCCTTATTGGAGGAACTGCTTCCCTTTCTGGCAATAGGAAGGCGTGTGGGTGGGAATGAGTGGAGAACTGTTTCCTTGGTGTGGACTGCTGTTAGCACTACTGCAGCAGCCTGCCATAAACCACAAATACTTATTTTTAAATGAACTACCTTTGCCCATCAATATATCAGGGACGGAGAAAGGGTGGAGTAGGCCCCATGATATTTAAGTGGGTTGCTGGTATTCTGCCTCTCAGCAGCCTGCAGGTTAATAGAGAAACAAAGCCCCCCTCCCAAAAAAAGTCCAAGTCAGTGCTAGTGATATTTTGCAGCTTAATTAAATGTAATGGCATCACTGTAATCTTCCACTCTGCTATATTGTGACCACTGTACTATTTCACTGCATGTTTTTTTTTTTAATTTTAATTGTTAGGTAGGACATCTGTATATATGTGATTTCCACAAGAACTTCATTCAGAGTGTTCGAAACAAAAGAAAGAGGAAGACCAGTGATGATGGGGGAGACTCTCCAGAGCATGAGATTGATGTCCCAGAGGTACGTAGCATAATTAAATTGGAGATTGTTGCAATTTCTGTTTGACCCTGATTGAATTTTCATTCATCTTGGTCAACCTCGTGGGGGACCGTTTTCAGCCTGAGGGTTGCAGTTTCTCATGAACAACCTTCTGCAGGCCACATACCAGTAGTGGGTGGGGCCAAGGCAGTAGTGGATGGTGCAACAAGTGTAATCCAATGTTTCTGCAGCCGCACCCCACACCCCTCTATCTTCCATCCAGGCAAGCAAAAGGCACACTTCAAGAACACATTCCAGTCAGTTAAAAGCATTTGATGAGGGGGCAGAGCCACAATGTAGAATAGAGTATGAAGGGTTGTGGTCTGGAAATAATCCCAAAAGACATGAAGGGCCGCATTTGACCACCAGATGTGAGGGTCCTCACTCCTGATCTACAGCCTGAAGGTTACATAGTAAATAAGTAAGGTTAAAATGCCTGTGCCTTCACCTCCAACAGCCTCTTATCATTTAGGAAAATTAATTTTCGGAAATTTAATTTGTAAGAACAGGTTGCTTTTGGAGAAAACAGAGCTCTTGTAGGCTACACACAACTAATCTGCTTTCCTGCAAATTTTAGTGTACTTTTGTACTACTCTATAAAGAAACTGTCCATCACATTTTAGTATCATATCCCCTACTGTGGTGATTCTAACTCATCTGATCAGCTATCTCAGGAAAGACCTGTGTGTCAGGAGTTGTTCTGGCCCAGATACTGTCACCAGATCTGCTCCTAGAATGGAACTGAGGGGTAGGGCAAAACAGCCAGAACTGACATGGGTCAAATGGGGCTACTCTTTTGGACAGCGCTAACCAGCATAGACAGAACAGCAACTGCATTACAGTGGTACCTCTGGTTACGTACTTTATTCGTTCCGGAGGTCCGTTCTTAACCTGAAACTGTTCTTAACCTGAAGCACCACTTTAGCTAATGGAGCCTGCCGCCACACCGCCGCCGCCCAATTTCTGTTCTCATCCTGAAGCAAAGTTCTTAACCCGAGATACTATTTCTGGGTTAGCGGAGTCTGTAACTTGAAGCGTATGTAACCTGAGGTACCACTGTATATGGACTGTAACATGTGCTTGAGCTTGCTTTTCCCTTTCCCTTGTGTGTCATGCATTTTTAGACTATGAGCCTAAGGGTAAGGACCATCTTTGTCCTGATGTTTTTAGGTCACTCTTAGAGCCTTTTGGGCAGGATATAAGGTAGGGTATAAAAAGCTTAAATAAATAATAAATAAGCAAGTGACAAACTTGTTTACAGAAGAGAAAGCTCTGGATAAGAGATATGCTTTCTGATTCTTACTTAGTACTTGAAAAGCCTGCTCTTTGTGACAAAGACTTTCATAAGTTATGATGCTTTTTGTACTTCTCAAATTATGATTGAAACACAAGTAATCAAAAATGCAACTTCTTCAACGGGCTATATTTTATTTAGTTAGTTAGTTATAAAAACATTTCTATACTGTATCAAAAAAAACACCACAGCATTTTACAGCAATATAAAAAACATAAAACAGACAATAAATAATAAAAAGTTAAAAGCAAAAGGAATTTTAAAAAATCAGTGGCCCATCTTGGGGGGTGCACTCTTAATTGCCTGCATAAACCTGATGGAATAGAAAAGTTTCCAACAGGCATTTAAAAGTTGGCACAAAAGGCATTCACATGTACATAGCAGCATATCAATAAAAGAAGTGCTAGGGATTGTTTGAACATCACATTGTATTAACTTTGAATGAAAGTTAAATAAGGATATAGGGTTGCATCCAGAGTTCCCCTCAGTGAGTTGAAGGGCTTCTTCCATTTGCAGAATAGACTATTGTGGAATAGCGGTTCCTGCAGGAGGAGGAGATTTTCACAAATTTTACACTACCACCACCCACATTTATCTGAACGGTTCCCCAACACTCTGGAGCATGGGACCTGCAGGTGAGAAGGGTAACTGGTGAAAATTTATCTCCCTCCCTCCAGCAGCCTATGAGCAAGTTAGAAACCAAGGCAGCTGCCTTACGTTGAGTCAGACTATTGGTCCACCTAACTTAGCATTGTCCATGCTGACTTACAGTGGTTCTCCAGGGTTTCAGACAGAAATCGCTCCCAGAACAATCTGGTTATACTGGAGATGAAATGCATGATTGTCTGTGTGCAAAGCATGTGCTCTACCACTGACCTCTGGCTTGCCCTCTCACAGGAACTCTGGATCCAAGCCTTAATCTTTTAAGAGGGCAAATAAGAATAGTCTAATGTGACCCTGCTGTATCACCAAAGAAATTACTGGGATAGTGTATTCTCATCACTTCACCAATATGGTGGCTACAATCCAGAGAGCGCATACAAAATGGAGAGACCATTCTGTTGAAAGTACAGGGAAGTAAGGTGCTTGCAGAGCTGTTGGTGTCCCACTATTTATATCCTAGTTACCTGTTTTGTGTATCTTGAACAGGAATTCCTTGCCTTCAAACAGGTGATGTTTCTTACTGATTTCTTCTTAGAGTAGATGCATATTTTTAAAAAGACTATGCCTTTTAACTGTCAGTCATGCCATCTTTTTTGCAGGTCGACTTGTTTCAACTTCAGGTAAACACACTGCGTCGTTATAAAAGGCATTACAAGTTGCAAACCAGACCTGGCCTGAATAAAGCTCAGCTGGCAGAAGTAAGTTGGCTAGCAAGCTTCTGTGCTTTCATTATATGAACCGTGCTTACCCACCACAACCAAACCTATTTATTTTTATTATAGTAATGCTGACTTGTAATTGTAGCTACTTATTGTAGCTACACATTGTCAGTATGACACCACTGCCTTCAACTGTATACTTAACACTTCTCAAAGGGTAAAATGTGAAAGGACCTGGAATGCTCCAGCTAATAAAGTAAGCTGATTTTCTTCTCTTAATTGTTCAAGTTTTTTGAGGGGGGGAAACCACCACCAAATAACATTCTTTTGTTTACATATGTTGCATCAGTCACATGTCATATTAATCCATAGTTTAAATTAAACTATGGTTTAATATGAAAGAGTAGCATGCCTGTGCACATCACATTCCTCAAGTCCCTGTGATGCTCCCCCACTGCTCCTTGCTTTCCTGAACAAAGGAAACAGTCTAGAGGCTGGTCTGCCATTACATATGAACCAGTGTTTATGGTTTGTTTTACTAACAAAATATGATGGTAAGTTGAGGTTTGTTCTTAATTTACTTTTGCCTGTGTCTGTGTCTTTTGCCTGGCACAGGAGCATTGACAGTTAACAAATTGAGGATTTGATTCAGTTCTTGAAAGTGTTGGCCAGTACCTAAATTACAGGTCCATTAAAAAGAAACTTGAGGGAACTGTTGGCAAAAGCACATGTTCGTTTAAGGAAATTGTGCTTTTCTTCCAGGCCATGCTTTTTTTACCAACACCAAACATTATTATCATTATCATTATTAATAAAATTGTACACCGCCCTTCATCTGAAGATCACAGGGCAGTTCACAACATCAAAATACAAAATGAGAACCCAAAATACAAAATACAAACCAATACCCTCTTTTCACAAACACCAGGCTATCAACCAGGCTTGAAGTTTTGTATGATTTATCAACTGACATCTATAATTGTTCAAGTAGGCAATCTCTGTTTTATACGGTAGGTCATTTTGTTTCTCAAGGGCTTCTGCAAGGTGTTGTTATGTGTGCTATAGGTTCATTTTCTGCTTTGCATGTCATAGGAAATATCAACTGTCGTTTCTCCTTAGCGTTCCATGAAATATTGAGATGAAAAGAAATTTCAAGCACATTCAACATGCAATAGACCTTGGAGAGCCAGCTGTGACTAAACCACAGCCAAGGGATAGGGAGCCTGTGGTCCAGATGAAGTCCAGATGTTGGACTATAACCCCATGATCCCTGACTATTGTCCTGGCTTATGGGAGTTGGGAGTTGAATAACTTCTGGATGACTGCATGTTCTCCATCCCTGCTACAGACCATGTGCTAGCTCTATATTACAAAACTTTCTAATTTTCTTGTCCTTTCAGACTGTCAGCCGTCACTTCAGGAACATCCCAGTGAATGAGAAAGAGACACTTGCATACTTCATATACATGGTAAAGAGTAACAAGAGTAGGTTGGATCAGAAGTCAGAAAGTAGCAAACTTGAATGAAGATCAGGCAGGTTTTGGACACAATCGTATGTGAATTTGAAGAAGCATTGGGTGAATACAAAAGAGTTAACATTTTTGTAAATTTAAGTGCAAACTAGAAATTATACAGAAAACTTTTGGTCCAGAATATTAGAATACATGAATATATGTGATGATTCCAGAATTTTCAAAGCGTAATACTTGACTGAAGGGATGGAGATCACAGGAAAAATCAAGAAGTCAAATATAATGCCTGTCCACAGGATTAAAATTAATCTCTTGATTATAAGTCACATGTGATAAGAGTTCATCATTCTTTCACTGGATCATACCATATCCATATAGGGCTCTAGGACTTACTTGGTCCAGGTCAGGCATGACACTGGAATTTTGATTCAAAATCTTGGTCTGGGGTTCCTCTTTTTAAGTGTGGTCACCACTTGTATTTAATACAGGATTACTTGCTTTGAGACAAAATATGTATGGGTGCTAGAAGTTTTTAAACCTTGCCTTTTTGTATGTATATGGTCTTGATAGAATACTAAAACTGTCCAACTGCTTATTTGCTACTAGAACTTCTATTTTGTGAATTCACAAAAGTTAAAATGTTAAATGTTCAGGTGTTCTTGTTTTTTTAAAAAGCATCATTAATTGAGAGCTATTAGAATTTAGACATGCTATCCAATGCTCTTGCAAAGTTCAGTGCACAAATTTAATTCTGTTTTTTCACCATACTAAAAATGACTTTATTTAAGTTACTGTGGGCCATTGATCAATATTTAAAGCACCAGATTAACAGCACAATTTTATATATATCTACTCAGAAGTAAGCCCCATTGAGTTCCACTGGTCTACTTCCAGAAAAATGAGTGTAGGAGTGCAGCCCAGGTCTGTAACCAAATATTCAGTTATAGACCTAATCTGATCTTGGTTAGGCAGATATCCATTAGCCTATCTGATGCTTTGACATTTGAATGCACACAATGCAAAACATCAGTTATTATGTCAGCAGTTATGATGTCTGCTCACTCTAATTTTTGAAAATGAGAATTAGTGCCAATCCTCTTCTCTCTCCTACATGCAGCCACCGGAAATGTGCAGTGACAAAGTTACCATTGTTTAAATTTCATGTTGCTCTTCACCTTTTATCCAATCCAGAATCCCTTATGCACTGCACATGTGTACAGCTTCCTCATTTTCTTCAGTGGAGGAGGCAACATTATGGTCTAAAATAAGTCAACAACTTGTGGCCTGCTAGCTTTGGCTTGCAGGTACCTAACGTCTTATGTCCTGGCCAACAACATATACAGATTATTGACCTCTTGATGGACTGCTTAACATGAATGGTGAACTGTATTTTGCTTAGTAAGTTACATGTTACTCTTGCCTGGTCTAAAGTAAGTTTTCGCATTTTTTTCCACATTCAACTTGGAGACTATGAGCATCATATCAGCCCTGTGCTGCTCTAGTCCTTGACTTTGTTTTATAAAAGCACAGATTTAAGCACCTCTGAAATCCATCAGTCTTGTATCCAAGTAAGAGGTGAGTGTATGGTGCAAGTTGCTTGCCGAAAATCTATTCCAAAGATAATTTCTCAGATGATAAGGTGATAGGCAAGCATTCAAGAGTATTTTGGCATCCTAATAGTAGATCTCTCCCTTACCCCAAACTCATGTTATGCTATGGAGATTAACTGTGTGGAAAGATACTGCTTAATTCAGCCTTACATTTATTTGTTGTGCAATGCAGCCTTATCTTTTTAAATACTTTTCAATCTGACAAAGCGCATGAAAAAACTAAAATTGGTCTCAAAGATGCAACACTCATTTGCAATGGTTGGTTTGTTTCTATTGCAAATAGATGCTCAAGAAACAATGGATATGTGTCATGAATACATATTCTCTCAATTAATTGGATACCACCATTAAATGTGGTTATTTTCAGGCAGCTTCAGCAAAGGGTATGTCAATTTACCATGTACTTCCAACAGACACACAAAGTGCTACTTCTCTTTTCACTGGTAAAAGTGAATTGAACTGACCACCAGAACACAATTAATCTTTATAAGCAGAAGCTTGAGGACATAGTTTTTGATTTATCTTCAGAATATTCATGTTTGCAGTTAGAGGAATTTTGCCATGGTCATCAAAGAGACACACACTGTATGCCTCACTTCTAGACCAAAAATGTACATTTTTTAGTGTTAGGTCTCATTTTTTGTAAATAAATAACTGCAGGGTTTCAGCAGCCAGCTTCAAAATGACTATGGAAAAATGCAGGTGCTACCCCTTTAGGCATGGCTTTGGAAATCAAATCAAGGAAATCATTTCCCCAAATAAATTAATTGATGTAAAATGTAATTGTTATTCATTATACAAGCAGATCAGCAATTGCTGATATAATTGTTGAGTCCTGTTGTAGTTTAGAGACATCTCTATATGCCTTATTTTCAGCTAGACCAACAAGGGTTGAACAAATGTCATGGCAGACAAAATAAGCCATTTTCATGGCTTGTCATGCTAGAAAGGAATCCAGCTCACAGCAATATCTATATTCAGGGAGAAGCCTGTGATTCTTGAACATCTAGTGTAGAATCACCAAAACCGCCATAATGCAGTTGTTTAATGTAATGGCAGATTATGCTGCGTGCCATTTAAGGAAATTATCCAATTCCTTGTGGTTTTAATAAAACCTTCATCAGCATTTTTGAGCTTCAAAGGATGTGAAGGATATTCTAAAATTAATAGAATATGTGAGAACTTAGTCACATTGACATGTTCGTTCATACAAACTGGTGGGTTGCATTTTATCTTGATTCTTGTCAACTATATAGTTTACATGGGGTTTAAGCTAGTCAGCTACGAACTGTGGCTTGGGTGTGACAGTTCACACGTTTAAGATTAGGTGTGGGAGATTATATTGCTGACCACAGCTATACTGAATGAAACTTAACTCCAAGCAAGAAGATCTGTTTGAAACCTTCAAACTCATTCAAGAACCCACTTAAAGCTAGCAGAAGGGCCATCTTTGTTTTAATGGGCTTTGCATCAGAGCCAAAGAACTTAATGTGGCACATCTTCTATAATGAAGTTAACCATCAAATATGGTGGTCCTTGGTGCATTAGTTGTTGTTATTGTAGTAGTGCAAGGATTTTTGTTCATCCCTTGAATTGAATGAAGGAAAGAGCAAAGTGATGGGGAATGTGCAATGACAATTATAGCACTGGAATGACACTTTTATGAATACATTGTGCAGGAATACATTGTGCAGTTGATTAAATGGTCAGAAACTAAATCAAGCAAGTCCAAGTGTGTTTCTGCAATATAAATGTTGCATATCAAACTCCTGCACTAAATTTCAGATTTTGTCTTGCAAGGCATATCATGAAATATGATTCAAAAGTTAAGTCCTGCAGTTGTTCTTGCAGAACTCCTAAGTCTTAGATTCATAGACTAATTCAATCAAACCCTTTTTTCCCCTGCCACCTGAAATATTTTATCAGTAAACGTATCTGTGTAAACGTCAGCAAAGCCAAAGTAGCTCATGGCAAGGATATTTTTTCAGATTTTCGAAAGCAGACTTGAAAAGCCATGAGCAAGATATATCCCAGAAATGCAGCAATTGGTGACTTGTCTTGAGAGAGAACTTACTAAAACAGTATTTTAAATTTTGTGATAACTATATATTAGCCAAATGCAATTTTTGTGGGGGGTGGGTGGGTTTGGGAGCCTTGCACTTTACCTCATGTTGATAAATTCTAATGTAAATAAGATGGAACCCCTTGGCATATTAGAAAAAAGCATTTTGATAAAGTTGCTAAGACTTAAAAGGCGGACTGTTGTATTCAGTGCACTAGTGTCACTTCGCCCTGTGTGTTGAGATGAGGGACTGATGAATCTTTAGGACAGCTATTCTAAAAGAAGTATCTCAGTACTGGAACAATTGATTAAAGGGCCCTGCTATAATGAAGCAGAACATCAGTGTTCCCTCACTTGTAATATCCCACATGCTCAGTTGTGAATCTAAGGGTGTGCTTGGATTTGTTTGTTTCTTAAAAGTGTGATAGTGGTACAGGATAATTCTTGCTCTTCTGTAGAATTTACCTATTCTCATTTATTAATACCTTAGATGTTGAATTTCAAATGTTTCTGGAGGGGAAGGGGCTCATGCCTTAAACTCAGAATTTCAATGAAATGCTTAGCAATAGTTTTTTCCTGCTGGTTGTTTTTGAGGTGTAGTTTTGGGGTTTTTTACAATTTTCAAACATGAGCTTATGGAGTTTGCCTTTTATTACGTTGCCTTCATCCCTCCTTTCTTGTCCTGATACACACTAGAAAAACGTGACAACTTACCTGCTTATCTGTGTTTTACACCCCTTTGACATATAACAGGCTTACTGGAGGAAAACAACATCCCTTCCCCTTCATTCATTCTGGCGGGCCTTCAGTGTCTTGTTCTGATCTTTATGCCAAATGTTTTAGGCAAGCTTTCATTGTGAAATAATAAAGCAACCTTGTGACTTACAGTGAAACTGTAGAGTTCTTTTCTCTAAGATGTATAGTGTATCCTTCCTTCCACTGTAAGTTAAAACTCTGTGCTGTTGGACAAAGATGTCAATGCCTGAGGTGCATTTTTAATAAATGATCAGTTTTGCTGGTTGCAGTTTTCATTGTAAATGTACTCATTTATAGGTGTTAATACTATGTTTGCTGAAATCCTCAAATGGTGGGCATAGGAAGACACTTGCATCACCCATGCGGGAAGAAAAAGCAAAAAACCTTTTCTCAACTTCAGACATTTTGTACTTGACCTGGTCATACCCAGTTGCTTACCAGTATTCCATATTTTGAAAACTGAAAGCTTGGAAGCAAATCATAATATGTACCTCATGATGTCTGCCAACTGACTTACAATTTCAAGTGCAAGCAAATACCATGGACAGGCTGAAGAGCAGTTGTCTGGTGGTGCAAAGGAAAAAAGGTGGCTTCCCTCAATGACAAATAGCAAATGGTGTAGTGGATAGAGTGTTGTGAGATCAGTGTTGAAGGCCCAGCCAGCCAAGAAGCTCACTTTGTGAATATGGATAAGTCGCTATATGGTTCAGCCTATAGGGTTCTATGGGTAAAGATATGGCGTAGAACAAGAGCTGCCCATTTGTGCTGCCCTGAGCAGCTTTTAGGGAGTGCAGGATACATGCAAACATAAATTAAATAGCATAATTGTGTTTGTGCATAGACTACTAATATATTCCAGGATAAAGCTGTCTTAGTACATATTATCGATTTTCACTGCATCATCTGAAATCTATGTTGAAATTTGAGTTTAGTCTTAGGAAAGGCAAAATAGCAATTTGTTTATGTTGACCAGTTTGAACAGGAAGCACTGCTTGAAAATCTGGTCACAACTATATAGTCAGAATAGGTCACATTTCACTTGCAGGAATTCATTGAACATTATAGAGAACACAGAACTCTGTTTTTAAAATAAATACATAAATAACGTATAGTGAAATGCCTGTCCTTGTAAACTTGTCACATTTTTAAATTTATACTCAGTGTTCCAAACCATTCTCTTTGGGCTATTGCTGTTGTTATGTTAGTAATCAGCCATTTTAACTACCCTTTGAGAAATTGTTACCAAGAAGAGCCTTCAAGAATCCACTTAAAGCTGGCAGAAGGGGCGCCAAGGACAAAGCACACCAAGGATAGTTCAAGTGTGTGCTTCCACTATATAAATGGATTGTTTTCTGAGAGCTTTACATTATAATGCTCATAGCTTGGTTCTTGGGAATCTTGGGGCAAAGGCATGTAGCTTTCAAGCCACCAATCTCTGAACTGAGTGACTTCTGCATCAGTGTTCTAGACTAGCGCATTATAATCTGAGTACTGGACTGTGATCATTCTGTGTACTTCCCTCCTGTATCCTTTTTCACCATATGAGGGCAGCATCATCTAAGCAAGCACAGCTGGTTTTGCAGCCTTATAACCTTGGCAGTGTTTGTGCCCCTCCCCTTCCCTCTCAGCCGCAGGTCTGTGTTTTGCTGATTGGGTAAGGAACATTTTCCACAGCTGTTAACAGGGACTGCAGCCATTTTCCTGTCACAAACAGGACTCTTTCCATAGAAGTGCTTGTCAGATACCGGAAGTAGGATTATGCTGTATTAAGGGATATGAATATCATAAAAAATCTGGCTTTTTAAAAATGGCCTGGTTGAGAATGAAATGCACTATGCACATTGGATTGGATCCCTGAAGGAGTTGTTTCTCCACCCTTTCCATAACGTTTGATAAAAGCCAGGCTTTGATTTTTCTCAGCATCCCTGTTATAAAGGGCAGATTGGAGGATAGTGGAGAACATGAATGGAGATTTAATGGTTGAGGGTTTATTTTATAGGCAATCTGTTATCAAACAGGCTTGAGTCTATAGTAATAGCTGAGGCTTATATTTTATATTTACCCAGTGTACATAAGAAGGGATGACTAATTAGTTTTTCTAAGGCTACTAATTCAAGAGCTGGAGTTGAGTTTACATCTCCATTGCTTTTGGAGACAGGTTTAGATCTTCCCAGGCTTTTAGAAAATCTTCCACCACCCTGCCCCCTCCCAGCTTTTCTTAAACTTGTTTTTAAAGCTGCTTTCTATCATGTATTTTAATTATGTTCCTACAGCTTCGGTTTCTATAGCAGCACAAATGAGGGTGCACTAAAAGGAACAGGAGGAATGAACATAGAAAATGGATTAAACTTTGAGAAATATTATCACCCATATAGGTGCACCCCAGAGAAGAGGCACATGCCATTGTCTCTCAATACAGATGTCCCCAGCTAGGCTTTCCTATAAGCACAGGAAGATAGGAAGGCTGTCTACCCTACTCCCAACAGCTGTTTATTAGTTGATTTTTTAAAAAAGTGAGGTTAGTGCAGAAAAGGGTCTGTGTGTGATTTCTCTAAGGTTAAGTTTCCATTAACAAGAAAATCAGCAAGGCATCAATCTCAGGCGCTGTGTATTCAGCATCCCCAGTTGTCTGCAGCTTAGTCAAAAACCAGGGAAACAGCACGGATGGCCACAGAGCACTGCAGACATCTTTTTAATGGAAAAAGAAACACATCCTACTGCAAGGATATGGTGATCTCAACCATGTACTCACTAAATGGATAAAGAAATTATAAAATGCCTTGCAAATGAGGCAGAAAGACAGAAGCTTATTTCAAAGGACAAAATAGTTTTTAACCTTAATCTTTCAAAAATCATAGAGCCATAGGTTTGAGCTGGATGCCTCCTATATATTGTACAGAAGCAGCACTGTTTAAACCCAAACTATTCCTTTTGCTACTGTTTGAATGATAACATTAAATGATTTCCATCATTTCTGATATATCTGCTTTGTCAAATACTGATTACTTTGTGAAGAATAACCAGGTTCCACAGTGATGACACCTTTTGAATGGACCACTTGTGATATGGCTTTCTGTGCTCCTTGTTGCCATTTATGAGATCAGCCAAGCTCAATGTCAATTTGCTGTGGTTACAGTATTGTGGGACATGTTTGTGTTAGCATTAAGCAGAGTTAGATGGACCTTAGTGAAACTAAAAATGTATTGGTGCACTGGTCAGCATGGGCTCAATCGGGATCACTTGACTTGCATGAAGAGCCTTAGGAGTGTGCATAGGAAATCCATCAATTAACTCCTTCCATCAGTAGCATCAAAACCCAACAAACAGGACTGGTAGACCCTAAACCACTTTCTAAACTGTTTGCAATCAACCAGTCTATGCTGCCTTGGAAAGTACTTCGGTTTGACTTAATAAAGCCTTTATAAAGAACAATGTGGTGTCTCACTTGTGTTTTATCTAGGAAGGATTTGCCCTACTGGGTGTTCTCCCATCAGTTCATCAATTCACAGCATTTTTGGCTGCCGAGAGAGGAGTTACATGACTCTCTAGCACAGAAGACTCGATCTGAATGGGCTGTCTAGGTTGGAGATTCCAGTAGACCCATATGTGGGAAAGGCTAGGGGCAGGCAATGCAAAGAAGACATTTCAGTTATTTTATTTGAAAGCTGGCCAAGGTCCTGAGAGACTGGAAGGATGGGTGAGGATCAAAGGCCTCGCTGGCTGTAAATCTTTCACCTGCAACTGTTACTTACTGGGGCTTTTGGCCATTATTTCGAGGTCGGGCCCAGGTCAGGATTTCTCCTGTCTCTTTAGTCCCCAAACTCTGAAACATCCACCTTATCTTTGACGCCATCTTGACATAAAAAACAAATTATGGCCCAATTACCCTCCCTGAAGGAGCCATCGAAAGGGCTGGGGGGGGGGGACGTTAAATGACAATAACTGTCAGGCGCTTCCTTAAGAAAATGTAAGCAAAATTACAGGGAGGAAAATATGCCACAGCTTCAAACCACCTTGGCACACAATTGCCCATCTACATGTACATAATCTCCCTTTTGGCAAGCTGTCTGCCTCACAGGCTAAATGTCTCTAATCCAGAAGGCCAGTCCCTTCATTCCACTGATCTTCCTAGAAGTTCAAGCATGATGGTTGGTTGAAACCTTTCCCTTTCCTGATAGAGAAACCCATTGTCCACCAATCCCCTGTGGGCTAAAGAAAATGAGCCTGGGGACCCTTCCTAAAGTGGTCACCCTAAAGGCTGCTTTCCCCTTGCATGCACTTCATTGGTTTCAGTGAGGGTTTGTACAGGACCTTGGTGACAGAGCACATGCCTTGCATGCAAAAATTCCTGATCCCTGGCATTTTAATTTAAAAGGCTCAGGTAGCAGGTGATGTAAAGGCTTCCGCCCCAGACCAAGGAGAGCTGCCTTTTGTTGTAGGGAGGAGAAGTTGACAATGCTGAGCTATAGTTGAGCTCAGTGTAAGCTTCCTATGTGTGAAAAAACATCACTTAAAAAAGAAAAATGCTGTGTGAGCAAAAAATTCTCTTCTGTGATGATAAACACGTGGCTAATTTCTCTTGATGCTATAGTAAGCAAGTGATAAACACATGTATAAACCAGCTCAAAGCCTTATTCCCATGTCACGATACTGAACATGAAGTCCCTTAGTCTCTGGGAATATGTTCATAGAGACTTTGGGAGTAATTACTACTGTGTCCTCCTGTCTTATTTTCCATCTCCTGTAGCAGAGGAATAAAGGAGGATTTTGTTACTCTGAAGTATCCTTCCTATCATTAAGTATCAGTGCTAGAGGTTTATGTGCTAGCAGTTACAAAGACTGTAGTATGTCGTAAGCAAAGACTTATCCAGGGGAGCATGACTGGTTCGATCACACCAGGCACAGAACTTCTTGAGAACCACAGCAGGCATTGCAACTCTGACATCTAACAGAAGGTGAGAGGCAGGGGACTGTGATGGGTTTTGGCATGGCACAGGGGGGCGCCACTGAAATATGAGATGCCAAGGTCTGCCACTGGTTGTAATCCACACATTTCTGAGTTTTATATATATATACAGAAATGAATGTGCAAATAAATATCTATAGGCCGGAATGTCATTGTGAAGGGGAGGGGAAAGATTATTGGGAGGCATATTTCTAACAAAAGTTCAAAAGCCTATTCTTGGATATATAAACATTAAAGTGAGCAGTGCAGTGTGTGTGTGTCCTGAAAACAGCATTCTGAAAGGTTGCTTTATGGTTAAGTCATAATAG